GGTTCCTTAGGCCAAGTCCGTAGTACAGACACATACTCCCCTGTAAAACAAGTCATAATATAATTATCACCAATACACAGACTGACCAGGGGTTCCTTAGGCCAAGTCTGTAGTACAGACACATACTCCCCTGGAAAACAAGTCACACTATAATTATCACCAATACACAGACAGACCAGAGGTTCCTTAGGCCAAATCTGTAGTACAGACACATACTCCCCTGTAAAACAAGTCATAATATAATTATCACAAATACACAGACTGACCAGGGGTTTCTTGGGGCAAGTCTTTGTGCCAGGTGAGCTAAAAACATTTAGTTTTGTGAAAAATCTGTCATCTTCCCACACTCAAAGACCCACCTTTTGATAAAGTAATAGAGAAAATTCTCACGCTGTGAACATTATTAGATGCCTCAGTGATTATACAATACTTACCCAAAGCATATTTGTATGTCCCTGATAAAGTTGCATTGTGTCCATTCAATAGGCAGATGGCTGTATGGTCCGGATGCTGCAAATACAAGATAAACATAGATGTGGTTGTAATATCACTATCAACAGTAATATCTGCTGATCATTATAGTATCAGCTTTTGAAAAAGCTGTCTCACACATTTTTTTTATTCACAACCAGCAAAAATGAAGTAGAATACTATGTGGCCAAGAGAACTAGCAGTAAAGACGGAAAACATTTTCAGGAGCTGACAACCATCTCTTTTGTCTAAGTTCTCTTGTTTTGAATTAATATAATTTATTTGTCATACTTTTGCTTATTTTCTGTAGATAAATTTACTTACTGAGAGCAGGTAGCGGAGACAGAACTCGTTTTCTGTAGATAAATATACTTACTGACAGAAGGTAGTGAAAACAGAACTTGTTTTCTGTAGCTAAATATACTTACTGACAGAAGGTAGCAGAGACAAAAATTGTTTTCTGTAGATAAATATACTTACTGACAGAAGGTAGCGGAGACAGAACTTGTTGTACTTATTTTCTGTAGATAAATATACAATACTGACAGAAGGTAGCAGAGACAGAACTTGTTTTCTGTAGATAAATATACTATACTGACAGAAGGTAGCAGAGACAGAAAATATACAATACTGACAGAAGGTAGCAGAGACAGAACTTGTTTTCTGTAGATAAATATACTTACTGACAGAAGGTAGCGGAGACAGAACTTGTTGTACTTATTTTCTGTAGATAAATATACAATACTGACAGAAGGTAGCAGAGACAGAACTTGTTTTCTGTAGACAAATATACTTACTGACAGAAGGTAGCAGAGACAGAACTTGTTTTCTGTAGACAAATATACTTACTGACAGAAGGTAGCAGACACAGAACTTGTTGTACTTATTTTCTGTAGATAAATATACTTACTGACAGAAGGTAGCGGAGACAGAACTTGTTGTACTTATTTTCTGTAGACAGGGTCAACACCTGGTTCAGTAAGTTCCAAACTTGGTGCTTGTCACCTTCCTATAAATACAAGTCCTAGCATTAAACTGATCAAGCATTCAATCCAAGTACACATTTTATAACTTTTGGAATAAATACAATTACATCCCACTTCCTACTCCAATATTTATTCACACATTGCCATACCCTTTGCCAATACAAACCTACACGTATGACCACGATGCTGTAATATATAATGCTAAAAATATATAATATTACAACATTAACAGTTTTCAGCAAAAAACAAAGACTAGTTTACGACAGTAGTGCAATATAAAAGATCTCGTTATCCTGTGACTTACGAAAATTGTATGATTTTTTAATTTCCTGTTAACACTTTTTTAAGATACAGTATAATCAACACTTTTTTAAGATACAGTATAATCAACAGCAAACACCAAAATATTACTGTGATGAACTGAACTTAACTTGCAAGTAACATTTTTAATGAACAAGCCATTCAGATTGATATATCTCGCCTATGCCTCANAAAAGATCTCGTTATCCTGTGACTTACGAAAATTGTATGATTTTTTTTATTGCCTGTTAACACTTTTTTAAGATACAGTAATCAACAGCAAATACCAAAATTATTATTGTGATGAACTGAACTTAACTTGCAAGTAAAATTCTTAATGAACAAGCCATTCGGATTGATATATCTTTGACCATCAATGCACATATCAGAGAAACTAACTTAAACGCAAAAATGTTGATGGAGATGCTGACAAAAGTCAATGGACCATGAAAGGTAGGCCGCATCCAACATTTGGTCTAGCATTTACACTTTCTGTGAAACTAACTTAAACGCAAAAACTTAATGTTGACACCGCCGTCGCAGGAAAAGCAACACGTTAATCTCGCTTCCACTACTTTGTGGCGGCGAGACAAAAATCACGTACAAAACAATCTTCAGAAAATTCTCGACTGAAAATTTCATCATATGATGATAACAGGGTTTGCATTACTTACTTTCTGACACATCTCTCTGACAAAGGTGAAAGCCAACAGTCCATTCTTCGTCATGATACACGACACCAAACACATGAACTCAGCTTGCTGCAAAACACAATTTCCTGGGATGAAACACATATTCTAGATGTTTGCCTGTTATTGTGTCTGGGCCTGGACTAACAAAAATCAACTGTAAAATTTTCCCTTAAAATAAAATACAGATGCAATTTTAATATGTCACATTTATGAATGAATGGAAGTAAGAAATACGTACTACTCTTAAACAAAATTTAAAAAGTTGAACAGGTTGACTTTTCAAATAAATTGGTATGTGATAGCTGTCAAAGAAGTGACTAATCTAAAATATTTTTTTGAAGTTTATAAAAGTTGACTATCAATGCACGTGTGTTTGGTCTAAGAGGAGACAACTCTTCAAGAGATTTACAAGGTTAAACAGATGACTATTCAACATATGGGCAGCACTCGTTTATAATGATCCAAACAGTTAAACCGGATCCACCAGAATTGTTTGTTTATGAAATAAGATCGGACCAAGCTGTAATCTGATGCTGCTTTAAATTTCAGGCGAGCCTTGACAAAGCCTTGCAAGGTCTGCCAGGATTTATACCCGAAAATGTTGCATTTAAAAACAGACAAATCGGTTGAACCAGATACGCAAAAGGGGCCATGGAAATTGTGGTCTAGGATCCCGGAGGAGACTACTCTTATAGATTTAACAGGTGAATTCAATTTATATGTTTGTGGTCGAGGACGACATTACTCTTCAAGAGTTTTACAAAATTTAACAGGTTACTATACAACAAATGAGGTTGTGGTCTAAGAGAAGACGACTCTTTAAAAAGATTTACAAAAATAAACAGGTGACAAATCCACATAGGTGGTTACATTTGGTTATGTAAACAACAACAGCGAAATCTAATTATTGATAACCAATTAAACTGGATCCTTAGTTGTGGCAGACATTGATGAATATCAAACAACACCAAACGTAACATTCCTGATATTTCTACTAGGGCCTCTTTCGTGTATCTGGTTCAACCATTTCAACCAGCTGAACTTCAAGAAAACAAAATGCTCAGATCTGAACCTAGGCTGACCTCAGGAATATTTGGCATGTGCATACTTGAGGGTCCAGACATGCCTGACCAAAACTAAAATGCTGAATATTGTTAGTGTGCATTATTTCTTTATAAAACAAGGTTGACTCACAGTAATATATTAGAATATGTTATGGAATTTAGTTGATGCATGAAAGAAGGACATATCATTCTTGATAAATTGTTATTTATTTGTCACAAAAGTGAAAACTCTGAAACTGCATTGTTCAACTCTGCCTACAGCTTGGTCCGAGAGCATTCATTTCTTGCGGAATATTTCTGCGCAACCTGAACCATTTCAACCGTGACATGCAAATTTGACATAGATGTACTGGATATTTTGCTCAGCTCTTCTAAAGCTAATCATCTGAATTATTCATTTTACCAAATCAACTTAATTGAAATAATGTGAAAAAATTCTCATTCCACCCAGTTCTTCTAGTTGTATTAATTTTAACAGATGCCACACAAAATGACATTCCCCATTCTTTGTTATACATTTTACAAATATAATGTATAGTTTTACAAATAATTCAATAATTCAAAAAGAAATAGGTGGTAAAATCTAGTCGTCAAGTACATCAAAGTTACTTGATATTCTAAATATGGTGGATTCTGTTATCTAAAGCAAGAAATGAGTAAAATGTGGTTTATCATTTTGATTACAGATTAGAAACAATCAAAATGTCAATACAAGTAAGTTTGTGATTGGCGTACAAACTAAATACTACACGGACCTTGAGTTTCCTCGGATCAGCCATGAAGAACGGACAGGACATCGCTATTGCCGTCACCTCCATCAGTTCAGTGTAATTCTTGAGATCCATCAACAAGTCACACAGCTGAAAGAGAAACCAACAAGACAGGTAAGGCCAGTCTATAGCAACAAGACAGGTAAAGCCAGTCTATAGCCACAAGACAGGTAAGGCCAGTCTATAGCAACAAGACAGGTAAGGCCAGTGTGTAGCAACAAGACAGGTAAGACCAGTGTATACCAACAAGACAGGTAAGGCCAGTGTATAGCAACAAGACAGGTAAGGCCAGTCTATAGCAATGTTTGTCCCACCTTTGACGATGAACAGAATATAATATGAGAAACTGAGCCAAATTCAAAGAGTTAACCTTCATGAGGTTACTTACAATGTTACTGGGTCATGCAAACTAGCATAGGTAGAGCATCTGATGCCTAGAATAAGATGAATAAGCCTGAATTTATGGTGTCAGTCTTGGTTTTGGTTGGTTATGGACTGCCTAATGAAGGAGCTAGCTAGTATGTTACTATGAACTTCTCAATGAAGGAGCTAGTATGTTACTATGAAATGCTAAATAAAGGAGCTAGTATGTTACTATGGACTGCTAAATGAAGGAGCTAATATGTTACTATGGACTGCTAAATGAAGAAGCTAGTATGTTACTATGAACTGATAAATGAAGGAGCTAGTATGTTACTATGAACTTCTCAATGAAGGAGCTAGTATGTTACTATGAACTTCTCAATGAAGGAGCTAGTATGTTACTATGAACTGATAAATGAAGGAGCTAGTATGTTACTTTGGACTGCTAAATGAAGGAGCTAATATGTAACTATGGAGTGCTAAATGAAGGAGCTAGTATGTTACTTTGGACTGCTAAATGAAGGAGCTAATATGTTACTATGGACAGCTAAATGAAGGAGCTAGTATGTTACTTTGGACTGCTAAATGAAGAAACTAGTATGTTACTATGAACTGCTAAATGAAGGAGCTAGTATGTTACTTTGGACTGCTTAATGAAGAAACTAGTATGTTACTATGAACTGCTAAATGAAGGAGCTAATATGTAACTATGGAGTGCTAAATGAAGGAGCTAGTATGTTACTATGGACTGCTAAATGAAGGCGCTAGTATGTTACTATGGACTGCTAAATCAAGGAGCTAGTATGTTACTTTGGACTGCTAAATGAAGGAGCAAGTCTGGTACTATGGACTGTTAAATGAAGGAGCTAGTGTGTTACTATGGACTGCTAAATCAAGGAGCTAGTATGTTACTTTGAACTGCTAAATGAAGAAGCTAGTATGTCCCTATGACCTGCTAAAAGAAGGAGCTAGTATGTTACTATGAAGTACTAAATGAAGGAGCTAGTATGGTACTATGGACTGATAAATGAAGGAGCTAGTATGTTACTATAAACTGTTAAATGTATGAGCTAGTATGTTACTATGGACTGCTAAATGAAGGAGCTAGTATGTGACTATGAACTGCTAAATGAAGGAGCTGGTATGTCACTATGAACTGCTAAATGAAGAAGCTAGTATGTCACTATGAACTGCTAAATGAAGAAGCTAGTATGTTACTATGGACTGCTAAATGAAGGAGCTAATATGTTACTATGGACTGCTAAATGAAGGAGCTAATATGTTACTATGAACTGCTAAATGAAGGAGCTAATATGTAACTATGGAGTGCTAAATGAAGGAGCTAGTATGTTACTATGGACTGTTAAATGAAGGAGCTAGTATGTTACTATGGACTGTTAAATGAAGGAGCTAGTATGTTACTATGAACTGCTAAATGAAGGAGCTAATATGTAACTATGGAGTGCTAAATGAAGGAGATAGTATGTTATTATGGACTGCTAAATGAAGGAGCTAGTATGTTACTATGGACTGATAAATGAAGGAGCTAGTATGTTACTATGATCTGCTAAATAAAGGAGCTAGTATGTTACTATGAACTGTTAAATGAAGGAGCTAGTATGTTACTATGAACGGCTAAATGAAGGAGCGAGTATGTTACTATGGACTGCTTAATGAAGGAGCTAATATGTTACTATGAACTTCTAAATGAAGAAGCTAGTATGTTACTTTGGACTGCTAAATGAGGGAGCTAATATGTTACTATGAACGGCTAAATGAAGGAACTAGTATGTTACTATAACCTGTTAAATGTAGGAACTAGTATAATACTATGGACTGCAAAATGAAGGAGCTAGGATGTTACTATGGACTGATAAATGAAGGATCTAGTATGTTACTATGGACTGTTAAATGAAGGAGCTAGTATGTTTCTATGGACTGCTAAATGAAGGAGCTAGTATGTTACTATGGACTTTTAAATGAAAGAGCTAGTATGTTAATATGGACTGCTAAATGAAGGAGCTAACATGTCACTATAAACTGCTAAATGAAGGAGCTAATATGTTACTATGAACTGCTAAATGAAGGAGCTAATATGTTACTATGAACTGCTAAATGAAGGAGCTAATATGTTACTATGGACACTAAAATTTCCAATTGGAAAAACATGAGAGCTTTCCTTTACATTATCTGTTTTTAACCTCTCTATTTATAATCCCAAATGTCAAATGATCCCTCAGGTCAGATGTCACCCTGACAAAAGACGACACTTACCTTGACAAACAAATCCCAGAGATCATCAACTGGCAAATCAGTTCTGTATATCCCTGAAATATATAATAGCAACGGTAAAATCTCATATAACACTGGATCCCAACACCATTGTGGTTTTACTAAATACTTTGCAGCCCGATATTTCCTGGGATGATATCCTCGCGATTTCGCGGGTCAATAAAGTGATCGTAAAAACATGATCCATAAAATGATATGAAAAATGACGTAAGAATGAGTCGCAATAATAAACTTCATAACCGTGATGTCGCCATGAAATAACTAGTGAGTGGTTGCAACGATTCATTTACATCAAGAGTTACACAACATGTTTAAAAATAAATTATATCACACATGTTATAGTTTTGTCAATTGATGATTTGTTTTTGCTCAATATGCTGTAATAAACCCTATACAATTGACTATTTGACACTTTATATGCTGAGGGTCCCTCCTGTGTGGTAAAATACAGCGAAAATTTAGTTCCTTCACATGTCTAGACCACGAAAATTTATAATAATCCATGTAAATTTGATTATTGGGTCAAAATTACGACAATTTTTTAAGCCTGCGTTAATAACTCATTATATTGTAGTCTATCTTTTGTCAATCTTATAAACACCTATTTCTAGTGAAATATACATAATTCACAATCTTTAACTGCCATACAATGTTACGCTCTTAAAATAACAATTCTTCTTATCAAGTTATGGATCGTTAAAACAATTACCAATATCTTTGGAAAGTTATTTAAGTGTTTGGGATTTCGATAACAATTATCAAAAGTATTTCAGCTTTGAAATGTTTTTTTTTAATTTTGATAAAAGTGAAATTTGTTTTGGACTCTTATGATAGTTACCATTGCGTTCTGCTTGAACTTGAGTTCCGTCCTTCAAATGCTTCGCCACATCCTCCAACTTGTGTTTCGGTGTTTTATAAGTAAATGCAACTGGAAATTGAAAACATAAAATGGAGACAATGACACTGTAAATCTATTGGTTTGGTAGATTTTATCTTCGACAGAAACACAGACGTTTTGAACATTTGCGAGGAAAATTATTCATACATATGAATATCGGAGTAAAGTAGGTAACAAGCATCCTCAATACTCTAGGGGTTACACTCACATTTGCTCTCTCCACCCCTGGAATATGTCAAAGCAAAATTGAACACACGCGGCGAGCTATTTGATTGGTCTCGGGTGAAAAACCTGACCAATAGCTAGGCTGATACCTGTCCTTTGAAAATTGCAAAGGAGCGGCACCCAACTTCAAAGCCAGTCAATTTTCACCGTTATGCGACCAACAGATTCTTTTGTAAACATCAAAGGATCCGACTCAATTTTGCTATGATATACTCCAGGGGTGAAGAGAGCGAAAGTGGGCATAACCCCGCGAGTATCGAGGATGGTAACCCTGGAGTATGGAGGATGGTAACCCCTGGATTATGGAGGATGGTAACCCCTGGAGTATCGAGGATGGTAACCCCGCGAGTATGGAGGATGGTAAACCCTAGAGTATGGAGAATGGTAACCCTGCGAGTATGGAGGATGGTAAACCCTGGAGTATGGAGGATGGTAACCCTGCGAGTATGTAGGATGGTTACCCCTGGAGTATGGAGGATGGTAACCCCTGGAGTATGGAGGATGGTAAACCATGGAGTATGGAGGATGGTAACCCCTGGAGTATCAAGGATGGTTACCCCTGGAGTATGTAGGATGGTAACCCCTGGAGTATGGAGGATGGTAACCCTGCGAGTATGGAGGATGGTTACCCCTGGAGTATGTAGGATGGTAACCCCTGGAGTATGGAGGATGGTAACCCTGCGAGTATGTAGGATGGTTACCCCTGGAGTATGGAGGATGGTAACCCCTGGAGTATGGAGGATGGTAAACCATGGAGTATGGAGGATGGTAACCCCTGGAGTATCAAGGATGGTTACCCCTGGAGTATGTAGGATGGTAACCCCTGGAGTATGGAGGATGGTAACCCTGCGAGTATGGAGGATGGTTACCCCTGGAGTATGGAGGATGGTAACCCCTGGAGTATGGAGGATGGTAACCCCTGGAGTATGGAGGATGGTAACCCCTGGAGTATGGAGGATGGTAACCCCTGGAGTATGGAGGATGGTAACCCCTGGAGTATGGAGGATGGTAACCCCTGGAGTATGGAGGATGGTAACCCCTGGAGTATGGAGGATGGTAACCCCTGGAGTATGGAGGATGGTAACCCCTGGAGTATGGAGGATGGTAACCCCTGGAGTATGGAGGATGGTAACCCCTGGAGTATGGAGGATGGTAACCCCTGGAGTATGGAGGATGGTAACCCCTGGAGTATCAAGGATGGTAACCCCTAGAGTATGGAGGATGGTAACCCCTGGAGTATGGAGGATGGTAACCCCTGGAGTATGGAGGTTGGTAACCCCTGGAGTATGGAGGATGGTAACCCCTGGAGTATGGAGGATGGTTACCCCTGGAGTATCGGGGATGGTAACCCCTGGAGTATGGAGGATGGTTACCCCTGGAGTATCGGGGATGGTAACCCCTGGAGTATGGAGGATGGTCACCACTGGAGTATGGAGGATGGTAACCCCTTGAGTATGGAGGATGGTAACCCCTGGAGTATCGAGGATGGTTACCCCTGGAGTATCGAGGATGGTAACCCCTGGAGTATCGAGGAAGGTAACCCCTGGAGTATCGAGGATGGTAATCCCTGGAGTATCTAGGATGGTAACACTTGGAGTATCGGGGATGGTAACTCCTGAAGTATCGGGGATGGTAACTCCTGGAGTATCCAGGGGTAACAAGATACTGCAGAACAAACTTTTTGTGACTTTGTTATGTTCCAGATGTGGGTGGAATGACAGAAATGCTAAGATTTTCCACTCCAGTGAAATCAGGCCAATGACTAACAGTACTGACCTTTGAGGAATGAGGGTTTACTGATGTCCTTGAACTGATGAAAGAGCAGCTTTTTGCAGGCGTTGATGAATTCGTCATGGCGACTTTGAGAGTGCAAAAGATGGCACTTCTGTAGCAGAAGAATCTGCTCCTGTTAATAAAAAGGCCGATATCGGCATCATAAATGTTTAAATACTAAGATCATTTCAATTCTAACTATGGCATCAAGTATTAAGGACACTGACACATATCTAATTAACATTAACTGATGATTAAAACTCATTTACCCCTGAAGACACAATTGAACTCTTCCAATTCAAAAGTTGGAATAGCTCCACATAATTCAACATAATTATCTTGTATTATAAACTAGAACACTGACAGGTAAGCAAGGGCCCTGCCATGTGCATGACTGTATTCCCTCTGCTCTATTATTAGCAATAGTGACCTTGACCTCGAATCTTTAATAATGAATCTTTTAAACTCCCCTATTTTTGCATATTACAGTGTATCACTATGTCAAATTTCAAAAAGATTAGCCTTTTGGATTCGGAGGTAAGGACTGTAACCTAGATCGACTATTTTTTGTAACAGTGACCTTAACCTTGACCTTTAAAACATTTTAAACCCCTAATGCACATCTACATCTCAAAGTGCATTTTGATAGTCTGAAAAGGGTTTGTACAGACAAACCAGATGTAGTTGTTAACTTATGTAAGATATACATTGTACAGAATGTATACATCTGTAGTTTGTATTTAGTGTGGGTCCAACTGAAATACTGATGAAGTGAAATGTTTCTTTACCTGTTTAGACATCAGCGCTTCACCCACATCATCTGTAAGTAATTGAACATGGAATTTGTATGTTAAATCATCCACTAATAACGTCATCGAATAAAAATAATGATAACTTAATTGTCCATTACTGACAGGCATAATATTTTCAGGAAAACCGATCAAAATATCTACATGTTTTCAAAATCCAACCGTTATCACGACAGGGAGGATGGGCACTATAAGGAGTTAATGCTGATAATGTTAACTAGTTAATTGGTTTTTTATATGATTTCATTTATTACTTTCCTTATCTAATCAATTCAAATGGATATTTTTCGGGCATCTTCGTTGTTGCTTTTGAATACCTCGAACCCTGATGATAAATGTACTGAAATGAACTGAAAGTAATTTTTCATGCAGCCTGTTTACCAAGTTGTTGATGTAAGATCTAATTTGTCAGTTGGTTAGCCTTCATTTCGCTGAGCTGTAACACGTATCTTGTGACAGACTTCCTAATCTGAATTAGGTTGTTGATGAACAGAAGAATCTTCCTTTGTGAATGAACTCTGATTGCTCCATCATGTTTTCTGAGTTGATGATGTAAGACGTATCTTACATTGTTGATGATGTAAGACGTATCTTACATTGTTGATGATGTACTGATAAGTCCTATCATTTGAGAGGTACCGATCGCTTCATTCTGTTTACGTGGCTGTAAATATTAAAACTACCTCGTGATTGTGGGGCTGTTGTTGTAATTCGGACGATACCTTGTGACAGGGCCCTGAGAGCTTCGTTGTGTTTACGTGGCTATAGATATTAAAACTACCTCGTGATTGTGGGTCTGTTGTTGTAATTCGGACAATACCTTGTGACAGGGCCCTGAGAGCTTCGTCGTGTTTGCCGAGCTGTTGATGGAGCGAGGACAGAGCCATCCTTGCGCCCACGTGTGCCGGGGCCAGGTCGACCACGTTGTCGTAGGCCTTTACAGCCTCCTCTAGCTCTCCCAGGTTGTTCAGGCACTCCGCCATCTTTAACCACACAGCTGCAGCCTAGGAAGATCATCGAAAATCTGAGTTACTTTTTTACTTCAGGAAGTGTCAAAGTTGTAGACGTGATGATGGTGGATTATGTAAATGTTAGAACGTTCCTTCAATAAAGCCAGATTCTCAGTAGCATGATACGGCATTCTGGGAATCATTTTCCCAGTCAAATCTTTGCCCTACTCTGATGGAATCCATTTCCACCCTATGGTAATTTTGCCCTTCTCATTGATAACCTTGTTTATTATATTGCTTACTATTGTAAGCTGTACTGATTGCTTACTACTGTAACCTGTAATGATTGCAGTGGGGGAAAAGGCGAAACATAAACTGCGACAAAAGAATTCCCAGTATAGAGTTATTGAATTATTATGAAGGTCTTTACTCTTACATGTATCTTTGTTCAGATAAATTTGGTCATCTCAATACTTTAACAAGAGATTTGATTTTTGTGAACGAACACATATCTCTCAATATTCCTTCCTGTTCTCTTGCATGAAAAAGTTACAAGAATTTAGTCAAATCTGTGTATCTCCATATTTAGGTTATTAGAGGAACTGCCTACTACTAAATTATGAAATGCATATATAGGAGTTACTGCAATTAAAAACGTATGGTTTGTTGTAGGACACAGTACCGTAACATTTAAAGCTACAACTGAAAAGTTTGCATTTATTTGAACCTTTGACTTTGAGGTCAAGGTCACAGTGACCTAATGACAGAGTGTGGGTGATGCTAGTATACTGCAAATTTCATCAAGGTATCTAACGATTTAAAAGTTACGGCCCGGACAAAATATCCCCGAAAGGTTTGCACTTATTTGACCTTTGACCTTGACATTGCACTGCACATCGACTGTGGGCGATACGGGTATACTGTAAGTTTCATCAACACATCTTTAATGATTAAAAAGTTACAGCCCAGACAAATTATCAAAAGAAGAACCAGTATTATATTGTGATACAATATTTCTCCCTCCATTCAAAGCGGAGACATAACTAGAGCTGTCGCCAGGATGGCTGACCAATACCCCCGCTTCCGCCAAGTTCTGTTTATTTGAAAGTTATACTTCACGTATTTAGCAGGATAAATAATATTTTTGTTAAAGGGACATAACTCCATCAAAAAGGGTCAAAATCCCAAAATAAATGCCGGTGCACAACTACATAAGATACTGATCATTCATGCAAAGTTTCAATAAAATCCACCTGTTAATTAAGGAGGAGTTTTCCGGACAAGTTACTGTGGACGACAGACAGACAGACAGTGTGATTCCAGTATACCCCCACCCCCTAACTTCGTTGCAGAGACATAATTAACAACTGTATGATTAATATTAGTACAATTTGATTTGATTTCTTGAAAAATAAAAGAAATCAGAGTTCAAACTTACACTGCTGTAACGTGAAGACTTGATCAACTTTGACAGCAGAGATTTAGCATCCTTGTAGTAGCAGGACTCCATCATGGCTTCAGCCACGTCGAGATACAGGTCCCCCATATCGTCTATACTCTCCGACGTCAGCTGACTGATGATTGGCTGAGGAGGCGAAGGTAGATTTTACTATACAGATTCACAGTTTCACGATTTCTGTACTAGATAAACATTTAACTCATTCACCCCTGAAATTTCATAATGAACTATTCCAACCTTTGAATTGGAAGAGTTCAAATGTGTCTCCAGGGGTGAGTGAGTTAATTGACTGTATGGCACCTCTAGGTTTATTTTTGAACATTTTACCAATTAGCATCAATAAGGTGTTCTTTCAAGAGGTGATGCAGTGCAAATCATTATTATCTTTAATCAAACATTAATATACAGTGAAAAATGTCCATCTGTTTTTCATTAATCTCTTACTTATAAAGGAATCAACAAGAAATGTACTGTTGTGTGACCTCTACTACTCACCGATACAATAGCCTTCTGACGCTGGTGAATCATACACACAGACAACTTAACTCCTAGATCTATCGGCAGCAGCTCCGGGATTTTACACCTGTAAATTTAACAGCACATAAACTGGGATTATACACTATCACATGTCAAATGATAATCTTATGCAACTCCTTTTGATAGCATAACCATATAGTGTATTATAGGTTTTTAATTTTTACATTACATTGCCAGGAAAAATATTGTGCTCACATGGGCACTTTTGTATTTGGGTGATGGGATTTATTTCACTTGTGTTTTATCAAAATAACATATATATGACATTGGTGTTTTATCTCCATTTTTTGGCAGTGAAATGGTTACATATAGTTATATTTGCTTGATATTTAATTTTGTGCTGTCTTTTTCACAAAATTCAATCCTATGCTATAATAACCAATCGTACAGTAAGTAGTGTAATAAGTATACGGGAATATAAAGGGGGAGAAGAGCCAACACTGTTCCAATATTAGGTAGGATCCTTTTGTTGGGTGTTGGCTGGAAGTATACAGGAAGAAGCAGAAACAAATATTAGTACATTATTGGAGTTACATTCCTAAAATTCAAAACTGAAAGTGTTCAACTGCTAAGATTATTTTACCTATGTGTAGTTGTCCCTATATGGAAGTAATGTGGCAAAAAGTGTTATTTTCCTAGATTGTCAAATAAGATGCTATGTCCTGGAGAAAACAACTCATTTTACATGGCTGTAATTTAGGACTTTTTCTATGTCATAATGAACCAATCAAAACCAAGTCAGCCAATCAGCAAGCGTTTCATACAATTGTAATCCCACCTAATACTTGTTCCAGTTAAATACAGTGCCTCTGAGTAATTTAGATGGGTAATTCTTATATTGACATATTTTACATTGAATGAATTCTATAGATATTTAACTTTAGAAAAACATATAGTTTTAGTAAAGTTTAATATGTGATGGCAGATTGATATGGTGTCAAAATTCAGGGGTGTTCCCGTCCCAGCTTCACTGGTTTGGCTTATAAACCTCCTAGACAGTTGTCACTAGTGTTGAACTTCAAATATTTAAGTTATTAGCTCAAAAGTTTAGATATAACATAAAGTATGTGATTTAGTTGTAGTCAACACAATCAAACATCAAATATTTTACAGGTCAGGTTAGCATTGGTATGAATAAAATAGTTATATTCTAGGCACTTCTTAAAAGGTTATCATATTGCCTTCAATTTTTTTTTGGGGGTAGGGGGGTGGGTGGGGGGGGGGTCATTCGGGGATGATGTTATGATTATTTCCCTTGTGCCTAATCCATAACTACATACTGTGTTTGTTAAAAGCTGAATGTAATTAAGTGTAAACTAATACAACAAAATACATATAATTGCCAGCCAATTTTAGAGACAACTGCAATGGCTATATTTGACTATATTTGATTCAACTTTTTCTGTAGTGAATTTGTTACACCTCACATTTCAATGGTGATTATGTTTGACCTCATTTTGCTATGACGATTAATGTGTTTGAGCTTACATTTCTATGGTTAGTTGACCATTCGCGAGACCCTCAGGATCAATTGGGTCGATGCGATTCTTCTCCCACACAGCCTTGTTGTGGAATACGAACTCCACCCCGCAGTGTTTCACCAACACCTGGCAAGGATAGAAACAAGAAGCAGATAGTTGGACGGACAAAGTCGGAATTATTCTTACTTACATCCCCGAGATTCCAGAGGCTAAGTTCACTTACATTTTCCACATCCCTGAAATATGTCATGACAAAATTGAAGGCACAAGGTAAGCTATTTGATTGGTTTCAGGTATGGAAAACTGACCAATCGCTAGGCTGATTCCTGTCCTTTGCAGATGACAGAGGAGGGACATCAAAAGTCCCAATCTAGATATCAATCTAGTCTACTTGTTTCATCCTAAAGGTGGAACATACAGACCTCAGTGTTGTCAGGACATATTCTAGGGGTGCAGAGTGACCCCTGGAACTTTGAGGATGTCTTCAAAATAATACAAGTGTCATTCTTATTCAACAGATTGGACAGAAATTTCCATTGTACCTTGCTTCTTGTGCATGAACCAATATCAAATTTATATATCAGGCTTAGAAATTAACATTTCAATATTTCAAAAAATCACACATATGATAAATATACTGAATTATTAAAACGTCACTGAAATCTGGACACTGAATACTAAGCTTACCTTAATACACTCCATGAACTGTTTCTCTGCTATCAGTAGCTCCAGCAGCAGGTTGACATCTGTAACACAACCAAATGTGATGGAAATTCAATAGATTTTGTATAGAAACAGCCAAATACAATGCAAGTACAATATCCCTGTTTAAAAAAAATGTTATGTTAACCCTTTCACCCCTAGGTAACTTAAGTAGACTCTACCATACATTTATCTGGGTGAGTCTATTATGGTCTACAGTGGTGAAAGGGTTAAACAAAATGCCCATGACATTGCAATGTAACATGGAAATAATCATGTATACAAAACAAGATAGTGCATGTAATGCAAATTTGGCAACTGTGGATTTCTCGACAAAATAGTGTTTGGAGTAAGGACCAACATATACCATAAATACAGTAAGTAAACAAACTTTGTACAAAATGTTCTCAAATATCTAGTATACCATCTATAATATACTCATTGGAACTACAACATAATCCCCGAGAGGTCACATCAGGTTCTGTTTCAGGAAACCTGAAGTCATGATTTTTTTTTATCACATAGAAATATGAATGCTTAACAATGTTAAAGACAATTGCTTTCTTCAGATTTCTTGAGTGTGAAGGAGAATTATAGTTGGTATTCCCTGCTTAACGTTTAGCATTTAGAGTAATGGCAACAACTGGACCACCCATTGTCAGCATAATGTGACCAGGCAGAATGCTGTGTTGGGAGCCTTCGACATGGTATTTCAGTGAGATAGCACTATAAAGTCGGCATCAGATCTGCTCTTTTACAATAAGGCAAATATGACAATATACCCTGCCCCCTGCACACACACACACACACACACAAGCATGCATACAAATTAACACACATTGAGATAGAGGCACTTCCTTAAATGACCTAAGCTATTGATAGGTCATTAAACAAAATAAAACCGAACCAAAAGTGAAGGAGAAGTGTCTGCCTACCTTCTGATGTCACTTTGTCAGGGTGAGCCTGAAATGCACCCTTCATTATTTTTATGGCATTCTCCTTGTCAGCAAGATTGAAATATTGCTAAAATAAAGGCACAATTAGACCATTTTAGTTCTTAAATGTACTTCAAGGTGCAACAAATGTAAATGTATGGCTTGAACTAAAATACCATATACATCCAAATATCATGATTTTTCTTGACTATTTTAATACACAACAGCTATTTTCATTCCTATTTATTTTAACCTGGTCAACATAAAAACATTATTTTTTCTATAAATACAAGAACTTCTACATAATAGCTACTGCCATAAAAAGCTTCAAAAAGCTTCTGCAGAAAATTATGCAGACTTCCGAGGCCTGTACGTTTATGCGGAACCGGTATGTCAGTTTTTAAGTGTAACAATTTTGGGTTTAAATCCTGGCGGACCTGAAAATGTGTATGCAGGCCTTGCAAGACTTTGTCAAGGCTCGCCTGAAAGCAGCATTAGATTACTGGGTCCGACCTTATTTCACAAACGAACAACTCTGGTCCAACCGGTTTGACGCTTGGACCGCAATAAACGAAAACGTCCAGTTTCCAGATTCAAAAGAGGAAGGGAGATAACTACGATGAAAGAGACAGAAGGACAGCTGGGGTTACCATTGCGAGGTTCCTGGCTAGCTCTATGTACTGGTCGCCTTCCTCTGGTGGGATGAGGTTGAGTACAGCCCGGTACCCCTCCATTACTTTCTTGGTCTCTCCAAGCTCCTCATACAACTTAAGCCTCTCCATTATATACTGTGGGTTCTTTGGGTCATTTCGTATAGCTAAAACACATATTCACTAGAATTTAGATCAAGACAGATTAAAATTAATATTCAATGACCGATGACCGGGAAAACTTTTTCTCTATTTTCTTTCCAATGAGTGGTCTTTTGGTTTTGTAGAAATGATATTGCAAAATCTGACATACATAAACATATATTTACATTTTTATTATAGAACAATTGTTTAATTTTATTTATTTGTTCTTAAATGATTTATTTAATTTACTGCATTTTGTTTATGCGTCGTCCAATATTGGCGGAACATCCCTATTTCAATAAAATTGGCGCCAATAATAAACCGTAGTCATTTGAATGTTTGACGCAGGGGCATTCTCCATGTTATCCGAAGCGAAGCAACAAGACTCTCATTGAACAAGGTCAATCTATGACGTCATAAATAAACCATGTGTTACGTCACAAGAGTTTTTGTTTTCATACTCAAATGAAATATATTTCTGCTGGTAATGTTCATATAGTGGGTTGCAGTGCAAATGTCAATACATTAAGATCAGATTTATATTTGAGTTGACAGAGCAACAAACCTTGAGTATAAGCTATCACAGCCTGAGAAATCTGGTTCTGGTCGAGAAACATCTCAGCTAATCGACCCCACTGCTCACAGTCTTTCGGACTCAGGTATGCAGCCAGAGTATGGAACTGAAATCAAACACACACAAAAAATGAATTCATTAACTGCTCCATTAAAATTATGTATAATTACTGACCAATATATATTGCGTCTTGCAAAATTGTTACACCTCTTACAAATGTATCGAAAATTACAACATCGAAAGGAAACAAGGCCCATACCTCTAAAGCTTTCTGCATGTTACCCGTTGTCTCGTAGATCACAGCTAGTGTCTGGTAAGGCAGGACGGCTTTGGGAGCTTATCGGGAAAAACAAAACAGAACTCACAATACTTGTGTTGTGTATGGTATGATATGAAACATTTGAATATCTTCTGTAAAATAGTTTCTAAACAAAACTATACAAGTATTATCACTTAGGCTGTTAGTTAGACCATACCTTCCTTGATGATATCCATACAGATCTGTATAGCCTCTTCGTTCTCCCCTCGAGCAAACTTCAGATTGGCCTCTCCCATCAAACCCTTCAGGTGCTTTGGGATGTTGCTCCTTGGCTGTTGGGATAATAAACAACTTAACTCAACAAGTAAAGTGGCGGAAATAAGTTATTGGTAAAACATGGGGTTTTTAATTTGAAGAATTGAATATTTTAACTATAGACTGTTGATCATTGAAGGTTTTGTCTCTACAACACATACATACACACTGATACACTATTTACTGTTCAATTTAGTCCACTGGTTTTTGAATGGAATAATTCTGATAATGGATTTTTTTTATTACTGATTATGAATGAATCATACCTTGGTAGGGTTATATAGTGGCAATGCCATGCGATGGTAAATATAAACTAAACAAGGGGTAATTAACAGTGTAAGCAGTCTCACTTGTGTCCTGAATTAAAGTTTGTTATCTGGGTGAGATGTCTGCATGATTGGAGTTATCTAGAATCCATCAATACCATCAATCTATGTTGAGAATGTCCTTTATTTACTTGAAATTACTTGAACATTATTGTTATATCAACATAAACCTAGGATATCTAAGCATTAGATGAATCTCTAATTTACTTACTTTGCCAAGAAGTTGGGTTTCGATGAGGATTTAACACTAAATTTTAGCTTAGTTTTATGCATGATTGAATTTTAGGACAATGCAACTAACAAATATAACTTTTCACCTAATATACACATCTTTAATTTTTTTCACAAACTGATAATTAAAACACAGTGCAGTGTTAAATATCCATGGGTACAATTAGAGGTGTTTCCTCAGATTCTTAATCCTATTACAATATTTCATGAAAAAAAAATAATTATTGTATCATAAAAATATTTTATGAATCAAGAGTAATCAAGAATAATGTTTTATGACATATTTATGAATTATCCCATTCAGATAGTACAATCCAAATTCGGACTGTCATGATTATTTTCCATAATAAATAAGTTGACTTTTTACTTACATTTCTTTTGACATATTTTCCTGAAATATATAAAGGTAACCATTGCTGTATATTACTATGTTATCACACGGAAAATTTATTTTACCTAGAAAACTGGTATTTTACCATTTGTCATAATGGTATGTAAGATTTATGAGAATAAAAGTCGATATGCATATACAAGTGTATCTTAATTCTCAAACTGATACTTTGAAATAACAATTCTGCAATTTATGTATTACATTTATATATGTCTGCAAAAGGAACAATATTACACAAAGTTTGATGATTTACTCTTTAACCCATTCACCCTAAAGTGGCATTTGAACCTTACCATATCAAAGACCGGGCAAGTCAAGTTTAAAAATGCAGGGGTGAATGGAAGAGTTCTTATCCAAATATCCCTGACAGACTAACACATAACATATTGTTTCAACAGCTGTAGGCTGATGACGACCTAGTTCTCTCTGAGGATATGACATTACCAGTACTTGGATTTGACCTAGATTTAATTAACAAGGTGGGTGTTGTCAAGGAAACAGAGGATGCTTTTTCTCCCCAACACACAATGTTATTCTCTACATTTTTTCAATACTTCATTTTTGTTTTATTTCCCGAAGTTTCTGTCAAGTGTTGTATCATTTAATTTGTTGAAAATTCTGTCGTGCAAGTGCTTCAAATGCTCCATGCAAAATTGTTATAGCCCTATTTCTACTGTTGTGCTTTACAGCCCCATCTCTCTGCCCTCAAGCCAGTCACACCTTCATTTATACCATGTTATTGCCCTTGGCCCTGCTGGACTACGCACAGAAAATCTTTAGAGGAAAAGTTGATAACCGCCGAACCTTTAAACTAACAACCTAGTGTTTGACCTACTAGAGAGATCGCAAAAAAAGTCTGGTTTGTAGTATTAATGATCTTTGCCTTTGATCTACAAGTCAGAAATGTGAAACTTTTATCAAATTTCATCCAAATTAGAACAAAGCCAATACAGTGACGACAAACATTTAAACTTGGATTTATGACCCTGAAAAGCAAATTTATTCAAGAAATTTTTGTACTGAGTATTTTAATAAAGATTCATTCCTAGAAAATTAAAAGTTAAACTGGCATAGCACTGACACTGATATGGGATGGGTGTAAGGACATGGGGTAATGCTATTTATGCCATCCCTATCACTTCAACAAAACTACTGGTACAACTCTTCAAGGCGAGTTTTTTAAATGCATTTTCATTGGCTGTATTTTATCACTGCCAAACAAAAAAATATAAAACCCACTTTTCATCTTCACAGGCGATATTGAACCATCTGATGTGTGACCACCTTCTCTGGCTCTGTCCAAAGGGAGAGAACTAGTACTCGGTTTATAGTCTGGGTCATCCTGCTGATTGTCCTCCATCTCATCCTCATCATCATCATCATAGTCATCATCATCATCTCCTTTTTCTATTTCATCTTCATCTTTTTCCTTTGCTGCATTTATCATTTCACTGAATTCCAAGAAGTTGATTTTACCTGAGAGCAGAAGAAAATAAGCAGTAGATGAGACACCACACCATAGGGACACTAACTATGTGATCACCATGCTGATGAGGCTATTTTTAACACAACTTTACATATATATATATAGATATAGATATATCCCCTGAAGAGGTGACAGTACTAGGGAGGTACTTTGAAACTATTGTCATTTGTTTATTTATATACATATACAAACATGTTAAGGAGGATGAATTTCAAAGTTGATTATTTAAAAACCAATGGTTTATCACTCAACTCTCAAAATCAATGGTTTTCTCTCGAAACCCCAAGCAACAAGGTGTACAAAAGATGAATTCAAACAGACCCCTGATTTTTTTCATTTATCTTGTAGCCATTTCCTTATTTCCCATTCTCCTTGCATGATATAGTACTTTGGGATATTTCGCATCACCAAAATTTGGCGGTTTTTACTCGAAATTAGGTGTTTAAATTTTGGTGCATCAAATGCCTACAGTTGAGCAGCAGTTCCCTCAGTCCTCCAGGCTGTTATGATGCTAAATGGCAGGACTGGATCATCTACAACCTTGTTTACACATGTCAGGTATTCACTGAAAACATGTCAGTATGGTACAATATGTTTTCAGATTCCATAAATATACAACCTATAGCTGGTGAGATTTTGGCGTGTTTAATTTTGGCTTATTCACCCCAAGCGCCAAATAAACCAAAATATTAAATGTTAAATACCACTGAACCTCCAAGGGCGATGGCTGTTTCTATAAATTGAACAAGCATACACGATACATACATTATTTAAACTAAATGCTGAAAAATAGTAAGAGTATTTTAATTTTCTATGATATGAACAGATTCCAAAAATGGTAAATGTAAGTATTGAACTGCTTTCATTTGGCATTCATAGGCAAAATCCAACATGAAGCGCACTAGCGCTTCATTGAATTTGCCTTTGTCCAGTTGGCATTCATAATGCCTATGAATGCCAACTGAAAGCAGTTCAATGCTTAAATGTCCTCACCTGATAAATACAGCATAACCAAGTCATTTGATGGCAGTTTGCGAGCTCCTGACGGTTGACCTTCAGTCAGCACTGTGGTAGGGGGAATGATGAGTTCAACAGTCTTACTGCCAGACTCTGTCGACACTTGCATCATGCGTGAAGTGCCGGGAATGCCCTCTTCAGACATAGACAGGGAGGCCAATAGGTCCAGGTTTGTCGATACCTCATCTGCTGCATTCTCCGCATCGTCATAGTGAACTTCCACTAACCCTCCAGTCTGTCAAAATAGCATGAATTTCAACTATAGACTAAACTATTTGATTAAATAAGTATTTAGTATTAATTAAATACAAACATGCCATAAACTTTCTGGTGCAAAATACTAAAATAGTGAGATCAGTTAAATTTTCATTTAAAATGACGAAAATTAAGATAAGGGATACAGGCTTAGCAAATTTCACCGCATATATGAGAGGTTTATATACGTATACGGGCTAATGCAAGTTTTATGTGTATTTCTGTTGTCTGCTCAAAGTGACATATGGTGCAGCTGATGGAAAAATAACTACATGACAATCAACATCCAAGAGTGTGGCTTATTTTTTGTTTGTCAGTCTGTACGTGTTAAGTGGCATAAGTGCAGGCATCACAATGCTTTGAATCAGCTAGTCTTGAGAGATGGGGTCACACTTATGTGAAGTTTCATGAAATTGGTCAAAACTTTAGTCAGGAACCTCCTGACAAGCCAAATGTTGACAGATAAATAAATGGCATAGCAATGACAATGATCTTCAACCTAGACGTTTAAATTGAATATGAAGACAATCTCTTTATCTCATTATCTATTTCATTCAACAAGTTGGGCACCAAGGCGCATATGGGTAATTATCCTGTATTTGGGGAACAGTTATACCCATTTGAGTAACAATTTTATTACTGAAATGGGGAATAAAGTGAAATAAAATCACACAAATATCTTTTAAACACTTGGAGCAAAAAAGGGTGTTATTCGTTCAACTTAATCCAATAAATAACACAATGAAGTACATCTGTGCACAAAAATTTAGCAATTCTGATGTCTAACTTTTTGTGAAAAGGACAAACCATATCACTGACTTTTGTCCACTATATGACAAATTGAGACGTGAATGTGCACTTGAAAAGTAGGTGAATGCAAGATTTATGCTTTCAGCACACCATGATACAAAAATAACTTTTAAAGCAAGGCTAGATTTCATTGTAATGTATATATGGGATTAAGGAAGTCACCGATATATGGTATTTGTAAATTGTACATTATGGTACATCTGTTTAGATATGCTGTTATACAACTGTAACTTGATATGTACTGTACAAACTGTATAATGGGCTGTTCGCCTTGAAATACTCATTAATATCTTGAATCTCGAATATCACTGACTTTGCTCTCCATTGAGTTCAGTGTGTAGGCAATGGGATCATCCAGTGCAAATGTGACAGGTAAACACAATGTTTTATGTGTGCTATTTAGCTACTCTACATCACACTAATAATATAAAAACTTTGTGTATTTTTATTTCCCTATATTCCCAATTTGAGCTATAAAATTGTTACTCAAATGGGTATTAAACTGGGAGTACAGTCGTTTCGGAACCCGGTAGTTTCGGTACTTCAAAAAGAAGAGGTTTCGCTGAATTATTAAACTGTTCCCCAAATGCAGGATTTATTACCCATATGAGCCGTTGTGTCCAACCTGTTCAAAGTTGATATAAAACTATTTGGCATGCAATGTGATGGTAAATATAAAACAGTGAACATAGTTGTTTTGCCAAATTTCTTTCTGCTCGGAGATGCAGCAAGCGGGATTTCAATGCAAGCTGCCAAACAACCGCTGAAACCAGCAAATATGTGGTTGATCAAAACTGGGCCGAGCCGAAACAGGACTTTATCACATTAAGGAATTACACATATATTATGTGCAGGTAAATGACTTGCCTCGCTCCATGCCACCCAATTTTCCTCCGCAATATCTTTTCCAACATTGTCAAATGGGTTGTCAGACGTTTCGTCCATAAACATAGAATCTTGCACTTCAGAATTTCCCTCCGCCGCCATGATTGTATTTGTTCGATCGATGTTCTCGGATTTTAAGAAAGGAAATTTTCTTCCGAAAGCCCTACCACCTATCACTCGAAAGGTTAACACTCCTCGACCTCCGAACAGCTACCCTGAAGAATACAGCGTACGATTCTGACAGTTTGCCTATTTACCGAGAAATCATGTATAAGCTACATATAACAATGTTGTTCGTTGTTTTTTATAAACTGACTTATTTGTTGAGGATACTCAGCAAGCTAAAAGTCCAAGTGAACCTGACGCAGCCGTTAAATGAACTTTGTAAATAGACTAACGCGTTGATAGGCATACAAAAAAACAAGAAAAAACATACATACAATGCAAATTTATTGTTTCCATTCTGTTCCAGAAACCCTAAATAGAAAACATCAATATTTTCCTTAAATTGTTTGCCATTTTGGGTACCCTCAAGTTAGAAACTGAAGATTAATGTTAATAAACCCTTATTTATGGTGTTTTGAAAGAGAGAAAGATTGCCAGTAATCAATTTTACTCGCCATTTGATTGCTTACATAGGCTAGTTGACCTAGGTACATGACAAGTGTCGCTGATGAAAAAGGAAACGCCTAACCTTCTGGAACTCATGGTCCTATTCTCCTTATACTTTTTTCAGTGATCACTGGGCAAATATTTTCTTTGTTCACCTTTTACACTGGTTTTATTAATTTTGAGTTCGAATTACGCTTTTGTTGTGACGTCGATATTCTTAGTTTTCTGCAAGCTGAGTGTATATTTAAGTCACTGTAGCTGAAATAGGATTGGAGGCAGCCTAATTGTAATCAACTGGTAATCCATTCAAACTGCAAATGCAATGTCAAGCATTTCACAAGGACAGTCCGTTCTTATTAAAAAAAAATGGTAAATAAAAGGTTGACCAGTATTATTAATTAGATATGCTGTCCCCCGGGGGTTGTTGTTGATTTTCCAAGTTTCAAGTTTTTTTAATTTCCGATTGCAATACAGCATATAGGTTTTCAACTTCGTTGATAGGTTGTATGTATGCACAGTACACAAAACATGTTTCAATTTTCAAGATGGCAGAGAACAGATCCATATAAGCATTTATCACACAAAAATAAATACATACTTCAGCAATATTACTGCACAAGGTTTTTTTTCTTTTGGCGGTAGCATACTGTAAATAATTACCCAATCTTCGTAATGTAATAATATTTTTACATGACAATAACACAGTAGTAATTTATACACACTGGGGCTTTGGTAATAATATTGCTCAATGTATGTGTTTCTTAGTAAAGAATAAGCAGGACAAGTACGAATAAAATCTATTTCATCTTCTATATAATTTTTGTCGCAAGCTAAACATATTTTTTGACCTCTCGGAACCCGAATATAACGTCCAGATTCGATGTTGAGGTGAATTTTTGGGAGTTATCTCCCTTAGACCGATAACCGCGCCGACAACCTCGAGGTGACTTCTCGGCGCTTTACATCTTGACATTGAACCAAACACAAGTGAGTGATTTTCCTCCACATTATTACATAGATTTCGGGAGCTAAGAGCAGTTTCAACTATTTGTTGTGACGGTGTGAAATACCACACACCGAATTCACGACAATGTGCAGGGAATGCGCCTGCGTGCGATACTGACTCAACATTGTTTTTGGTAATAGAGGTTAAAGGCTTTACTAAATATAATTGAATATTAAAAGTATCGACAAGATGTCTATATAAATAACATTTAGAAGATGTTTCAAACGCACTACGCAATTCTTAAATAAGTGCGTCATGCAGACGTTGAATATACATTTCCACAAACTGTTTTACTTTGAACATATAGAACCTCTCGGATATGATTAAAACCCGTTCTATATAAATCATGTTTGACATGGTAAACCCAGTTAAGTTTACAATTTTGCTTTTTGACATTAAGCTCAAGTAGTGCATCATAACATGATTTTAGTACACAGTTATTTGTATTTAAAATATTTATCCAATATTTCATAATAGCTATTAAGAATACCTCCCTGTTTTAAAATGTACCATAGAACTATTGACTGTTTTCTTGAAAACGCGTACACTTCTGGAACGCATGGTCCTATTCCCCTTATACTTTTTTCAATGATCCCTGGGTAAATATTTCCTTTGTTCACCTTTTACACTGGTTTTATTAATTTTGAGTTCGACTTACGCTTTTGTTGTGTGGTCGATATTCCTTTGTTTTCTGCACACTGAGTGTATATTTAAGTCACTGTAGCTGAAATAGGATTGTCTGCAACCTAATTGTAATCAACTGGTAATCCATTCCAACTGCAAATGCAATATCAAGCATTTCACAAGGACAGTCCGTTCTTATAAAATAAAATTGGTAAATAAAAGGTTGGCCAGTATTATTAATTAAATATGCTGTCCCCCGGCGGATCTTTCGTGTGATTGTTGTTGATTTTCCATGAACTAGTGAGTATGTTCCATTATACAAGCTCGTGCATTTAGGTGTCTTCATTTTGAGCTTCATTTGATTTGGACGGAGTGAAAGTGGCGGGTTCCACACTGGATGCAGGAAACCTTACTCCTCCGGAACACATGGTTCTGAGTTTTTGTGATGTTTTATCCTCTGGTTTTGTTGCCTTTTCGGTTCTGTATACATATCGAGTTTAGATCTATTGGCTTTGTTGTGTATTGACGCCATGTTATGTATTCTAATTAACAGTTCTGTATGACTCAAACTGATGTAGGTATCAACTGAATCCCCATACATAACTGGCAAACATACGGAATGGAAATATATATATAANGTGGGGGGGGGGGGGATGAAGCTCAGTTGTTGAAAATCATATACACAGTCAATAGACCTACATTTCTTGTGATATTTTTGAAGTGGATACTAAGAAACCAAATATAAAACGTTTATAATGAGGCGTTGTTTTTCATGTGATAAGCAGTTTGCCACGGTACTCCGACATGATGCCTATAGGTTTGCTTTATTGCTTGTGTTTTTTTGCTGTAGCATAGGCCATTCAGTTTGTGTACAAGGGTAGTGTTTCTATGACAGTATGATTATTCTGTCTATGGTCTAAAACAATTTTACTAACTCATATATTGGTTTTAGAAAAACGATCTTTGACACAGTAAAACAAATTCGATCATGATAAACATTTAAATCTCACACAAGTATTATCAAAGTTTTACTTTATACACAAACAATATACGTATTCAATGTGTCTCAACGTTTCAAGACCGACTGGTCCCTTTGTCAAGGTATAGCTAAGTCAGCGTTTTGTTTTGTTTACCTTTGCAACGATTATTATTTTTTTATAATTCATTAAAAAAGAAAACAGATTTATATATATCTGTATAAGACGTCGTTGATTGTGAGCTGTTCGAGATCGTGTTAATTTCGTGTCAAGCCTTTGATTCAAACTCGCTGAAGCAACACATATCTTCTCTGCTTTCGAAGTGAAGCCCGGTTTTATAGTAAAAACAAACACAATGATTAAAGTATGAACATGTTTATTGTAGTCGAAGTGTAACACGTTGTATGCTCTAACAGGTGCCTGAAAGACCCATGCTGATGGCTTTATGGTTGGTCACAGTCTTACCATAGCCGCAGAAAGACGACCTGGGAATAATAAAACGAGACATTAAAACTATAGAGAAGTATTTAAAAAAGAAAAGAAGAAGAAAAAACTGTTTTCAATTTTTCCTTGATGACTTAGCGCAGTAGCAAGGCGATCAACGAGTGGTTAGATTGTGTTGAATTGATATAGAATAATCGCCAAACAGCATTCAAAAATGAAACGGGACGAACCTGATCTATTTGCATCAATACAATATGGAAAAATACACTGTTGAGATCAAGTGTTTTATTGAAAAAGGGTTAGTATTTTCGAGTTATAATCGCTAGAAATTTAGAAAGCGATTCCTAGATAGATCAAACGTATGTCGTTGGATGATTTAGGGTCGGTTGCGCCTATAAGACAATCAGTTTGGTAGCACACATTATACCCCGTTTAATCGGTAGTTGGGAGCGCATTTTAGACCATAAGTTGGACGATCAGTTGTAAGAAGCGCCTATTAGATAATCAGTTTTGTGATCGGTAGTTGTTAGCGCCTACTAGACCATAAGTTTGGACATCGGTAGTTTGTAGCGCATATAGGATCATACGTGGGATGATTAGTAGTTTTAAGCGCCTATTAGATCATTATTTTGGTGACCAGTAGTTGATAGATCGGTAGTTGGTAGCGCCTATTAGACCATTAGTTTTGTGATCGGTAGTTGGTAGCGCATATTAGATCATTAGTGTGTAGATCGTCAGCTGGTAGCGCCTTTTAGGACATTAGTGTGTAGATCGTTATAGTTGGTAGCGTCTATTAGATCATTAGTGCGTAGATCGGTAGTTGGTAGCACCTATTAGATCATTAGTGTGTAGATCGGTAGTTGGTAGCACCTATTAGATCATTAGTGTGTAGATCGTTAGTTGGTAGCGCCTATTAGACCATTCGTTTTGTGATCGGTATTTGTAGCGCCTATTAGATCATTAGTGTGTAGATCGTTATAGTTGGTAGCGCATATTAGATCATTACTTTTGTGATCGGTAGTTGGTAGCGCCTATTAGACCATTAGTGTGTAGATCGTTACAGCTGGTAGCGCCTATTAGACCATTAGTGTGTAGATCGTTATAGCTGGTAGCGCCTTTTAGACCATTCGTTTTGTGATCGGTAGTTGGTAGTGCCTATCAAACCATTAGTATGTAGATCGTTATAGTTGGTAGCGCCTATTAGATCATTAGTGTGTAGATCGTTATAGTTGGTAGCGCCTATTAGATCATTAGTGAGTAGATCGTTATAGTTGGTAGCGCCTATTAGATCATTAGTGAGTAGATCGTTATAGTTGGTAGCGCCTATTAGATCATTAGTGAGTAGATCGTTATAGCTGGTAGCGCCTATTAGATCATTAGTGAGTAGATCGTTATAGCTGGTAGCGCCTATTAGATCATTAGTGAGTAGATCGTTTTAGTTGGTAGCGCCTATTAGATCATTAGTGAGTAGATCGTTATAGCTGCTAGCGCCTATTAGACCATTACTTTAGGTGATCAGCAGTTGGTCCCAGTATTTGACCCTTAAACAGAGCCGAATAGAAATCGCATTCATGGATGTTTCCTGTCGGCGATTTAGATTTAATGAGCTGGGTTTGTTATTTGAAAGGATCAGTAATTCGACTTTCCTGGTAATGTACTCCAGCTGTGATATCGTATATATTGTCATGTATGTGAGCTCGAAATCATAGACATACACATGTAATTCCTCCAATAAAGTTTGGAAATCGATACTGTATGACAAAATTGAATGACACGGCACAGAAATGTAACGCTGGAACCAAAATGGTAGAAATGTACACTGGTCTCAACCAAAGTTGAAACAGAAGGTTGAGCAGGGTGCCTAAACCAGTCAATTAATCAACAGTGCCACTACTCAATAGAGATAACCGTGGCTATAAAGAAATCACCCAGCAGAGACTACCCCCTTATATCCTGAAAGATCATACGCTCATCATTACCTTTATTACAAGTACGGTCGAATCTTTAATGGGAAAGATTCAGAAGGTGACCCCTTCCGCCGGGCTTACTTACAATTGCTGGGTAGAACCGTCCATGAGGGAAACCCCCATTAGGAGCCAGTCCTCTGGATACGCCCAGCCTGTCAGTACGCTAGACGTTTTGTCGTACTGCATGGCTACAGCCACAATCTCTCCGATATCCTCTTTTATCTTGATGAACTTTGAGATTGTGTGACCCTGCGTGTGGACCTCGTTGTCGCTGTAGTTTAACATCATGTCAGAATATTAATAAATAGGTACATTTGACAATATTATTTGGAAGATGTTTTTCAATAACTGATGAAAACATAAGCATTTTATTTTCCGTAAAACGGTTTGGTTAGAAAAATTCTTAAGTATTGACCTCTGCCCTGATGCGATAACACGGATCACCAAATAACGTTCGAGGAACGCATCCATGTTCATTCGTGGAGGTTTTATATCGTTGGGCTAACATCAAATGAAATTATGTTAAAAAATTATGTGTACGAAACGAACAGCTTATTAGTATCTATGACGGTACAATAGGGTGATTAAGAAATTGAACACGCTCTTTATACCACTATAATACTAATGATTAACCACTACATGTACTCATCAGTGTGACCAGTATACCACGACACGTACGTCATCAATTTGATTGGGCTCGAGTTGCCGTTTTGACCCTGCAGTACTGCAGTCACTACACCATCCATGTTATTCTTCCCCGTCACGTTAAGTTGGTAGTGGTAATCTGTGAAGAAAGATTGTTTTGTTCATAATAGAATTTGTTAAGGAAAAGTTAAAATCTGTGAAGGTATTTTTTTTTGGAAATCATATAAGAAATATAAATATATTCATGTCAGAAATTTGTGAAGGGAATGTATGGCTGCTAGAACCACTGGAAAAATTGGGTAAATAGCTAAATACGAGTAATCTAGCCTGGAGGTATCACAGAAAAACCGTGAAAACACCGACTGCAAGGAACATGTGAACTGGACACAGGGTCCTATCTTGAATCCAGCTCACATGGAAAATGACTTCGCCTCACATGCACCAACACGTGATTGAGATTTCAAAAGATCCTCATAGAAAAGAATTGTCATCTTCGGGCTTTAACAGATCAATATTCACAAAAAAAAACCACAACAGCAAACAAAAGAAACCAGTAAGTAGCAGGCTACAGAACACAATCTGAGGACAAGTAAATGTGATGGTCGGTAAGGCCTCGCTTCTCCATCAACTTTAATACTGATAGAAACACTCAAAATGTGTTTACAAAAACAGACATCCCTATAAACGAAACAGAGAAGCTGAAGTGTTTAGCACAATGCAACATATTGATATCATAGACATGGTAAAAACAATCCGATAAAGCGAGGTAAACAAAGCAAGTGTTAGAAGGGAAGGTTATGATATGTCCATAGATACTGAACAGCTCGTCCTTCAGACTGGAACATGGAGCTATGTAACATGCTTGCAAACTACCGATATATGAAAAGAGCCCATTTATATTTTAAGTGAGACTTTAACCTAAAAAGTTAAACTACTGACTGCGGCAAAGGGACAAAAATAAATGAATCAAAATAATTTAAGGGAAAGCGTATGAGGGTAGTTAACGACTTTTTCAACATATATCACACACACCCTATAATAATAGGAGCCTATATTGTACCGAGCATTTTAGATTTTATTATTACTAACGAAATGTACGTTACAGACATTCAGAAAGGTAACCATACAAAATCTTATTTTACTTCAATTTTAAACGAACGACTAACAAAACAAAATGAAAGCATCAAATTTGATTACTACAAAGGTTATTATGCGGCAATAGATGAAGAATTAAAAATGGTACTGACACAGAATCTAAATATCAAGAATTTCTAAACCGACTACAACCGCTATAGAAAAAAAGGTGGGGGGTGGGGGCCCAAAGACTTCCACTACCATACCGTTGGAGCCATCAGAAAGAAACACTGAGCGTCACATAATACATAGATACTACAGTGGCAAAAACACCAGTTCTATTTGAGAGCTAAGAACAATGGTAAGTCGTTAGTGTGAAAATAGAGAAAACAATAGAGAAGGAAAGAAAAACAGCCATTGCAAAAGAAATAGGTACGGGGAAAAAATCCCCCAAAATCTGGAAAGCAAGCTCCAAATCTAAATTTGGAACAGAAATCGCAGAGTTAAATTTCAGAGAAAACGGGCATTTACGAGTAGCTGATAGTGACACAAATAAAGCAATCGTCCATCACAGAATTAGTCAGCAGCGTGTTCGTATAAGAAAACACCACGAGTATATAAGGATACACCGCGGGAATAAATGTAGTTCTCAAAAACATCGGCAGATAGAAGGACCTTACTTTAATTACAAACTTAAACCCATCGGACTTACTATTACAATCTTCAGTGAAGTAAACAGGATCATGGTTGCAATTCGGCGAACTTATACATACATGGGCAAATATCTATTTGGAGTTCTCAACACAGTTCTAGTGAAATCGCATTTGGAAAATGGAACCAGTGTATGGAACATGATTTTTCAAAACAGCATACATGTAGTTAAAATTGAGTGCTCAAAGAAGAGGTACACAAAAATACAAGGAATGAATGATCAGACGTACAAGGAGATATTATTAGTATTTAGAATACCGACAAACGTATAGGAGTGACATTCTTTAAATGAATATGACCCGGAAGTCGCTAACTCATTCATATTCCAATGGAGTGAAACAGAAAAGAGGCGGCAATCATTCAAACATTTAAAGAAAGGAAGCTGACTGAACATTTTAATACATATCCTTTTACATCGTGTCATGAACTACTGGAATACCTTTCAGAACAATGTTTATAATTCTAACACACTCATATCTTCATGTCAGAAATCACTTGATTGGTTGTATGCTGGCCGTTTGACGAACAGGGTAATGTGTAACTGTACTACATATTTGAATTACGTTATAAGATGTGTGATGAAAACATTCCGTTATTGCATTCCTCATTTTAAATTTGATAACGTAGGAAACAAATATTTACTGCAGAACGGTGCGTTAGCCTGTGTTTGAAGGTACAGAGATCCCCGTGCGGCGAAGTTGATAGAATTGTAACCCATTTCGGAGCATTCGTCGCCATGACACCTCAGACAGTGACCGAGGTCAAATTCAGCAGCGCTCGTGCAAGGATACGCTTTGAATGGGCACGAACTAGAAATCGACTCCGTGAACAGTTCGTACGAGCGCTCATGACTGCACGCGACGGTAGCTTCTCCAGCTGAAAAGACAAACGAACGAATATCAACACGAAAACATGCAAGAACAGGAGCAATTGATTCTGGTCAGAAGCAGCCACTTTCTGATTTATTAAAAATACCCCAAATTTAAACTTTTTTTGTTGAAGTTTTATGTCACGTCTTCAACACTATCTATCAAATGGCAAAGTACTGGTTTAATTTGGTCCAGAGAAATATTCGCCCTTGACTGTTTCAATCTTCACATCAGAAATACTGTACGAATACGAATCCTACATGATCGCCTGCAGAAAAATAACATTGTCTTCATCACTTGACCTGGGATAGAAAATCCTGAAACCAAACATGAATCATTATCTATGTGATCGTAGATGTAACGAGCAAACAGTATGCACAGATTAATAATAGCTCAACACGTGGCATAGCTAAACTAGCAATGCCATAGGCTGTGTACAGTGTCGCTATCCTCAGGACAGCTACATTTGTTGCAAGGCCGAATGACCTTACTTTAGTGTCTGGACAGTGGTCACGGGGTAAACGCTTGGTGACATCAATTATTTACTGACAATTTTAAGTACATCTGTAGTACTGATAGTGTTATGACGTAGGCACTGGTCAGTTAAGAATAGTTATCACCATAAGAGGTGTGATGTATTGATATTATTTACCTATAGGTTGTGACGACAGGGAATTGGTAATCTGTTACAGCTATACGTGGACATAAATCAGGTTTTCAGAGTTATTTCAGTAAAAACGCCACCTTAATTATCATTGGAGATAGATTTTTGTTTGTTTTTGTTTTTATCGATAATTGATCTTATCCCTAAAAACGTGTATAAAAACGTGAATACGTAAGGTTAGGCCCAAGTTATCAGGTCCACGTGCTTGTGATTGGCCTGTGACAGCACCCTTTATCGGATTCAATCCTGATTAATTCTTGTTGAATTGCCGGTATCATCTTTTACACGTGCAATATTTATATACCTCCTTGTTTTTTGCTATGAAAAGTTTTTTTTTTTTCGGTATGCAATACCCAGGTTATAGTTTTACATATGCTAAAATATTCAATTTGTACGCGGTCCCACACTGTATTTAGGCACAAGTATTATAAGACGACTGCGCATGCTGTTTGATTTTTTGTTCCTGTCAGAAATCCCACCATTCTCAGAGCTTCATGCAATAGATCTCTGATGTGTCACACAAACAACATAACATTTGTTTTTCATGAAAAAAATAACTATCCCATTTTTTGTTATAATGTGACCTTACCTTTTTTCAAATCTCGTCAATTTTAATAGCATATTTTCAGCATTCGGTTAGCATCTTCTATCAATTTTCTATTAATTAACTCAACTGAATCAATAGAAGCAATAACTACCACCCATTATACTCTCGTAGTAATGTAGTTTTACCATAGAGGTCGAGTTGTGAGACGGCGTTCCAGACAGTGTGGGACACCTTTCCCAGCAAGCCTGCGTCACATCCGGGCTGGTCCTTTCCGCCATTGGGGTAGAAGTCCACGTGACCCATCTGTTGAATGGACCCCATTCCGAGCTCCAAAATACTGGAGGCGTCGGTGTGTATGACGTCAACGAAGTCGGCATCCGTAGCATCTAGTCGAATGATTGGATCGCCTCCTTGGAAGTAGGGGTCGGCGGGGTCAAGACCTTCATAGATCATTTAAGGGAATCAGTGAACACATTTTTGTCATCAGATGAAAACATATACAGCACAAACTGCACTAGTTTCCCATTAATAAGTTACATTGATGTATATAAAAAAAATCAAATCATAAAAGATACAAAATGCATTCCGACATAAAGTTGCAGATAAGAGTATAACACGAGAATAAATTTAGCTATACAACATCAGATTTCAAAAAGATATGCTATGAAAAAATCCGTTAAAGTTAAGTTAGTTGAAAGGCACTTCTACTTAAAAGATTTTTAAATTTTGAAGAAAATCGAAATTGGTCTGATAGAGCAAAAGTCTAAATTAACGATACTGCGTTTCAATTTAACAAAATAATAAATTGTCCTTATTTTTTTAAAGATATATAACAAAATTTGGATATTTTTACCGATTGATATAAAAAAAAAAAATATTCGATCATAATAATCATGTTTAAAGGGCATTCAGGAAACCTTCAATCGAAACTTACTCCACAACATAAGTAAACTATGTCTATAACATTAAGTATCACATGCTTGAATACTGGTTATAATGATTTTCCCGTGAATATTAAACAAACTGAGAAATGTATATACAACAAAAAACAAAAACAAAACATAAAAAAAAGAAACCGAGGCGTGAAACTGGCCTCCAATTACCGATCTCAACTCTAAAGTAACACCGTATAACACAAATATTCGTTTGAAAATAAATTGATATTTCAGTACACTGTACAGCTTTGATATAAAATTGAATATAAGAAGCTTAAGGATGTACACCTCTGAGAAGTCAAATTTTTCCCGTATTAAACTTTTTTTCTTATATTGATTTTTGGAAAAGGGAGATAATGGCATAGTAGAAAATGCAAAAAGAAATATATGTCCGTGTGCTCGTTTTTGTGCTATGATCTGTCAAAGATACCAATTTAACACAATAGGTGATTTTAGGTGAATTTTCGGGTTTTGACCATTTGCAGAACAAATTCATACAATTTCTTCCAAGTGTGTTATCAGATATGTATGAATGTTTGTAGAATTAATAAAAAAAATATTATCTTTTAAATTATGGAAGTAAAATTTCTTAATCTTATTCATTTTACTCAGAAATGCGATTTTAGTTACCCCTACCCCTTATTTTTTATTGAAAAATGCACATTTTTTCACCATTTTTTGCAGATTAAACGCTTGATATAAAAAAAATCCTGTATTAAACTTTTTTTGGTATTCAATGAATAAAAAAGAAAATGTTTTTCTCTTTCTAAAACAGCCACAAAAATGGGGGGTATGTGTGCTTCTTTTTTTGTCCCATATTATTTGTGTTATTTTTCACCTTTTTCGGGGTCAAAAATCAAAAGTGCTTCAGTTACCCTAATATGTGAAAAAAAATACCAATAATATATAACTTTCCACCTTTTGGCATATTATTTTAATCATATTGAACATTATAAAGTTGTACAGCAAAATTGAACCTGCTACATTTAAAAATGGTGACACAATGACAATTTAAGTGATCAATCTAGTGTAAAAAATGGTAAATTGCCCTTTGTGAAGCGCAAGAAATTCACAAAAATACACTTTTTCAAAATGGCCGCCAAATTGATCATTTCTTTCAAATTCTTTTAAAAAATGTTCTACACACAACATACATCTAGTTTTTTGACATGTTTTTCAGATGTGTGTTTGCTATTAAACCTATCATAATTGGATAAATATTACAAAAACCCGTTACACCAGATCAAAACGAGACTTGAACGTGACTGAAACCTCAGAAGAGTACATCCTTAAAGTACACTATTTTGATATCCTACACATACATTTTGCGTGTATATTTGTTAACAAAGAGAAATGTATTGCGCACGAGTCTTATACTTGCATGAGAGTTTCCAAATTATAAATGTAAATATTTTCATTTGTTTGGCCTTGGACGAGTGTCCCTAGTTTTGGGTTGTACACAACGGAAATACTGAAATTTATAAAATAACAATCCTGAAGTTAAATATTGATCTTTTTTAATCGCAAGCCAGCTTAACATTGCAACAGCTCGCATTCAAGGAGCAATGTCGATCCTAAAATTATATATATATATATATCTTTTGTATAATATACCAATATCTAATACGATGTATTAATAAAATTTCTTATATAAAAAATATAAGATATCTGATATAAATAGTATCATCAGATATCTTATCAAGAACAATTAATTTATAAAGTAATTTATTTGAGATTTTCTTATTTCTTTTCATGAAATAACTAATTTATGACAAAAAGTTTATCTAAGAAATCATATAAAAATATGATATTTTACAACATAGAAAGTACCTTTTATTATTTATCAATTATCTTATACAATCTTTAAAGTTGCAAAATTGAGATTAATTTGGCTAATAGCTTTTTAAAATATTTCCACATACGTATACAAAAAATGTCCTTACTACCGCATTTTTTCCCAATCCAACTCATTATTTCTAAAGGTTCAACAAAACACTAATTGTTTACAGAAGACTCATTCGACAATTAGATGGCGCTGTTTTTTTTTTGAAGTGGCCTAGTTTTGCAGCAAGGACAATACTTCGTTCTATCAACATCGATAGGTTTACCACGTAAAGGAAAATCATCTCGCACCTCGCACTAATGTGGTTCATTTATGAAAGTTCCATAGTCATCAAGAACGTATGAGGTTTACGATTGCTTTGCCGGTCCCTGGCACCGTGAACAGGTGTTGTAAATGTCGCAGTGTTAATTACTAGCTCGTGTTATGGCGTCAGAGCCGGATTCACAGGAGAACGGTAATTGGGATTGGTAATACGACGATGACCTCTGTACTAAAGATTGTCATTTTGTTGGCGACAAAAAGACGTAGACATATGTTGCTAGGTTGCTTAATCGTTTCCTAAAACTTGAAACGTCGTCACAAATATAAGCATACTTATGTACGGCTTTGTCCCCAATATGAGGCGTTGTTAAGACACATGCAGTTTCATAGAAATTGCAATCGTTTAGAAGACATTGTGCTGATAAGATTTGACATTGCTAGTTATACGGCCTCCTGTCTGTGATATTTACTAGAAATACGAAAAAGGAAGTATTCGGAATAAGATAAGGGGTGGAACTGCAGTATGAGAATGTTATTAGGCGAATTGTCTCTATAATTTTTGACAGCTGACTTTACTGATTCGGCACACTGTGGCGTAGTGAGTTGTTTTCAGCGGTTTAGAGTCGTCGTTTACACTCGTTGTCAGACAAAGGAAACAGACGTTTTGTGAAACCTTGCAAAATAGGTTTTCAATTCCTGTTTGTGTTCAAAACAAACTTAGCCTTTATGAAAAAGGATGAAGCTTTTCGAAAAAACAGCATGTAAATACGAAAAGCAAAAGAAAGAAAGTTTTGTTGCACCATATAGCCATCTCATCTATACAGGATCATCGGTGGTCCTAACGAGAAAAATAATTAAAATCTGTGTCTGAGTTGTTTTGATAGAGGGAAGGTGCCAATAACCCCTGTATAATGATACAATTTCAAACCATTTGGATAAACAGATAATTTACCCTTAAACCAGTATTTCTGGATAATCTTGTCTGGATAAATTCCAGCTACAAGGTCACTAGCCAACCGCCGGGACCGGTAGTTCAGTTGCAAAGTCAACAACCATAATGGCATGAAATAATTATTAGAAATTTAGAAGGTGACCTTTGGAGAACGTACCTGAGAGTTATCCAACACACTTTCCGTCTATGAAAATTTACCCAAAACAAAAGAATGTTTTTTTTTTTTTTTTGCTTTTTAGAAATGTTTGACCTACTATCTGTTGTTGTGACACGCCCGTGCAAGTGAATCCAACTATGATTTAATAAAAAAAAAAGTAGCAAAGTTAACATAGTTTTCTTTTAAACCCTCGTCGTGACCTTGATCTTTGCGGTATTGGTCTGAATCTGGTAGTGGTACCCGAGGTACAGCCAAATAGTGCACTTGTACCGTCTGTGATCCTGTGTCTTGTCTGTGACAATAAGTATGTCTTTAGTGTGATCCTGTGTCTTGTCTGTGACAATGCTTATGTCTTTAGTGTGATCCTGTCACTTGTCTGATACAAAATTTATGTCTTTAGTATGATCATGTGTCTTGCCTGTGACAATACTTATGTCTCAAGTGTGATCCTGTGTCTTGCCTGAGACAATAATTATGTCTTTAGTGTGATCATGTGACAATTAGTATGTCTTTAGTGTGATCCTGTGTCTTGCCTGTGACAATCATTTTGTCTTTAGTGTGATCCTGTGTCTTGCCTGTAATAATGCGTATGTCTTTAGGGTGATCATGTGTCTTGCCTGTAATAATGCGTATGGCTTTAGTGTGATCATGTGTCTTGCCTGTGACACTCATTATGTCTTTAGTGTGATCCTGTGTCGTGCCTGTGACAATCATTATGTCTTTAGTGTGATCCTGTTTCTTGCCTGTGACAATCAACATGTCTTTAGTGTGATCCTGTGTCTTGCCTGAGACAATACTTATGTCTTTAGTGTGATCATGTGACAATCATTATGTCTTTAGTGTGATCCTGTGTCTTGCCTGTGACAATCAACATGTCTTTAGTGTGATCCTGTGTCTTGCCTGTGACAATCATTATGACTTTAGTGTGATCCTGAGGCTTGCCTGTGACAATTATTATGTCTTTAGTGGGATCCTGTGTCTTGCCTGAGTCAATACTTATGTCTTAAGTGTGATCCTGTGTCTTGCCTGAGACAATACTTATGTCTTATTGTGATCATGTGACAATTAGTATGTCTTTAGTGTGATCCTGTGTCTTGCCTGAGACAATACTTATGTCTTTAGTGCGATCATGTGACAATTAGTATGTCTTTAGTGTGATGCTGTGTCTTGCCTGTGAAAATAAGGAAGTCTTTAGTGTGATCCTGTGTCTTGTCTGTGACAATACTTATGTCTTAAGTGTTATCCTGTGTCTTGCCTGTGACAATCATTTTGTCTTTAGTGTGATCATGTGTCTTGTCTGTGAGAATACTTATGTCTTTAGTGTGATCCGGTGTCTTGCCTGGGACGATAATTATGTCTTTAGTGTAATCCGGTGTCTTGCCTGTGACAATAAGTATGTCTTAAGTGTGATCCTGTGTCTTGCCTCTAATAATGCGTATGTCTTTAGTGTGACGATGTGTTTTGTCTGTGACAATACTTATGTCTTAAGTGTGATCCTGTGTCTTGCCTGTGACAATAAGAATGTCTTTAGTGTGATCCTGTGTCTTTCCTGTGACAATCCTTATGTCTTTTGTGTGATCATGTGTCTTGCCTGAGACAATCATTATGTATTTAGTGTGATCCTGTGTCTTGCCTGGGACAATCATTATGTCTTTAGTGTGAGCCTGTGTCTTGCCTGTGACAATCATTATGACTTTAGTGTGATCATGTGTCTTGCCTGTAACAATGCGTATGTCTTTAGTGTGATCCTGTGACAATAAGTATGTCTTTAGTGTGATCTTATGTCTTGCCTGTGATAATGCGTATGTCTTTAGTGTGATTATGTGTCTTGTCTGTAACAATACTTATGTCTTTAGTGTGATCCTGTGACAATAAGTATGTCTTTGGTGTGATCCTGTGTCTTGCCTGTGATAATGCGTACGTCTTTAGTGTGATTATGTGTCTTGCCTGTGACAATCATTTTGTCTTTAGTGTGATCATGTGTCTTTCCTGTGACAATCATTATGTCTTTAGTGGGATCCTGTGTCTTGCCTGTGATAATGCGTACGTCTTTAGTGTGATTATGTGTCTTGTCTGTAACAATACTTATGTCTTTAGTGTGATCCTGTGACAATAAGTATGTCTTTGGTGTGATCCTGTGTCTTGCCTGTGACCATCATTATGTCTTTAGTGTGATCCTGTGTGTTGCCTGTGACAATAAGGATGTCTTTAGTGTGATCCCGTGTCTTGCCTGTGATAATGCGTATGTCTTTAGTGTGATTATGTGTCTTGTCTGTAACAATACTTATGTCTTTAGTGTGATCATGTGACTTGCCTGTAATAATGCGTATGTCTTTAGTGTGACGATGTGTTTTGTCTGTGACAATACTTATGTCTTAAGTGTTATCCTGTGTCTTGCCTGAGACAATACTTATGTCTTTAGTGCGATCATGTGACAATTAGTATGTCTTTAGTGTGACCCTGTGTCTTGCCTGTGACAATAAGAATGTCTTTAGTGTGATCCTGTGTCTTGCATGTGACAATCATTATGTCTTTAGTGGGATCCTGTGTCTTGCCTGTGATAATGCGTACGTCTTTAGTGTGATTATGTGTCTTGTCTGTGACAATACTTATGTCTTGAGTGTGATCCTGTGTCTTGCCTGAGACAATCATTATGTCTTTAGTGTGATTATGTGTCTTGTCTGTGACAATACTTATCTTTAGTGTGATCCTGTGTCTTGCCTCTGACAATAAGTATGTCTTAAGTGTGATCCTGTGTCTTGCCTCTAATAATGCGTATGTCTTTAGTGTGATTATGTTTCTTGTCTGTGACAATACTTATGTCTTAAGTGTTATCCTGTGTCTTGCCTGTGACAATCATTTTGTCTTTAGTGTGATCATGTGTCTTGACTGTGACAATCATTATGTCTTTAGTGGGATCCTGTGTCTTGCCTGTGACAATAAGTATGTCTTAAGTGTGATCATGTGTCTTGTCTGTGACAATACTTATGTCTTTAGTGTGATCCTGTGACAATAAGTATGTCTTTAGTGTGATCTTGTGTCTTGCCTGTGATAATGCGTATGTCTTTAGTGTGATTATGTGTCTTGTCTGTGACAATACTTATGTCTTTAGTGTGATCCTGTGTCTTGCCTGTGACAATACTTATGTCTTTAGTGTGATCCGGTGTCTTGCCTGGGACGATAATTATGTCTTTAGTGTAATCCGGTGTCTTGTCTGTGACAATACGAATGTCTTAAGTGTGATCCTGCGACAATAAGTATGTCTTAAGTGTGATCCTGTGACAATAAGTATGTCTTTAGTGTGATCCTGTGACTTGCCTGTGACAATAGTTATGTCTTTAGTGTGATCCTGTGTCTTGTCTGTGACAATACTTATGTCTTAAGTGTGATCCTGTGTCTCTCCTGTGACAGTGTGCCTTGTCTATGATTCCGTATTGGTCGTGGCCATGTCGCTTACCTAATCTGTTGTTTTTTTGCTGTGCTCCTGTTTTTACATGTGGCACTTATTTCTTCTATGCGTTCCCAATTCTCACTGTGAGCATGTTTTTTTGCCTGTGATCTTGTTTCTTACCTTAGCTTTTGTTTCTTGCCTGTTTATCTGTTTTTAACTTAGGCCTTTTTTACCTGTGAATTTGTTTCTTACAATCGCCCTTTCTTTTTTGCCTACTCTTCTTGTTTCTTCATTTACCCTTTTTTTCACCTGCGTTCATGTGTTTTATCTTTGCTACTGTCTCCCCTGTTCTTCTTTTTCAACCTTGAACAGGGTGTTTGTCTATATAATCCCATTTATTTCTGTCATTTCTATTCTTGTCTGAAAGTGACCCTGTTTTTGCGAATACCCTATTTCAACTTGTGATAATATTTATTACATATGATATTTTCTTACCTGTAATCCGTCCCAGGTGTTGCACCCTGTCCCCAGCGTACCCCGCGATGTGGGCCCCGAGACTATGGCCAATGACGTGTACGTCTGCTGCAGATGTGTTGGTGACACTGATGAGTTGATTGATTAGCATGCCAGTTTCTGCACCAACTACCCTTGTATTGGCGGTGGCTTGTGCATAGGGGATACCCGCCCCATGTCCCCAGTCAACCACAATTAGGTTAATATTCCTCTAAAACAAATCATGTTCGTCTGTAACAGGACAACACAGCGATGGCATTCATGTTTTTCTGCAGCTAGATCGAATATATACAAACATATATATATGCTATCCTGGTACCGCTTCCTACCGACTCGACTATGGAGACTTTCTATTTAGCTCATTCGTGAGGGCGTAAGACTAGTAAGCCAGAGGTTTCGGGATCTACTCCTACAGGATGCATTCAAACAACTGTTACCTATATCTAGCACGTGCACTTGTAACAGGATAAATGACGGTGAAACGTCTTTGCTGTTTTTTGATTGGATTAAATGCTGTGGTTACGTTCGATTGTTCCTTGGACGAGAGTTAAAAAGCCGGAAATACACTCCTCCAAAATGGAAGTACAACCAGCGATAACGAAATTGTCTTATTATATTTATGCCAAGATCATGCTGAATTGATAAATAAAATTCAATCAGTAGCGTTATATGGTAAGATGATAGGGAATTAATCTTGAAATTTTATCAATTTTGTAAAGTTTAGGAAATAATAAATGAACAGTCATATTTAAATTTAAGTATTGTTATGTCAAGATTTTAGTGAAAATATTCAATTAAAATGAATGTTATGTGTTTAATTGGGGAATGTTATCGCAAGTTGATAATGAATTGTATCGGTTTATCAATATTCAAATCTGGCACTACACGGACCTTTTCGTCTTACCCACAATGCAAAGTAAAAACGACATGGACTGTTAATCTCTATGTCTATGAAATGTTGACAAATATTAACTCGTCTGGTTTCGTATCAGTAAATGACGAGTGGTCATGTCAGGAAATCACAACTTCAGATACATTCTTCTAATTGCATACAGAGATCAAACTGCGTTCGCTTTGTATAAACCGCAGATGCCGTTGTTCTCGATATGATATCATTTATACGAATTAGGTGTTACCTAGATACGAACGCACCCAGGAGTGCTACCACGTGGCAAGTCTTACAATTGTACAGTCAAACGATAACATGGAGTTATTTGGAGAAGCAAAGACCGTCATGCACATGTCATTTCTTTCCTCATTCGCATTTTACTTTTGGAAATTTCACACAAGTCTTATATACAAAAAAATGTATAAAAGGATGTAAATTTTCAGTCAGTCGGTAACGGCCATAACAAACAGAAATAAGTCCTAGGTAATTCTATGCATTTCTACTTTTTTCTAAATGTAAATTAAGTCTATCAGATCTTTGTGTTTCTGTCTGAATGTAGCGTAAGAAAGGGAAGCAACGGTAATGCTCATGGAATTATTGAATATTGTAACTTCCCGGATGTGCCCAGATGTAAAGACATTATAACAAACGTGGGTAAAAGACTAAGGGATATGTCGTAAGATAACGAGCTTCGCGTCAGCCACTCCACGTCAGTGGCACATATATATATATATCCATACCTGTCATGATATCACGATTCACACTGGCTGTCATGGCTTGTGTCAGATCATCATACTCTTTGTAACCGACCAATCTTGATGAGCAAATATCAATAACGGATATTGTCGTTCATTGCCTTTGTTATAAATTGAAATACACGACGAGCAGACAAATATAATCGATGACGAATTGGAAAGCCCCTGATTAAGTCGGGTAAAGTATAACGGTTATGTTTATAACGCCCACACCCGTATACTGGTTATATATACCGCCTACACAACTCTCACATTCTCGTGCATTCCCGGCACAATTGTACTAAACCTCAATTGTGTTACGACCGGATGTTGGACAATTAGCAAACAGGGGCATGTCATAACCTCATTTAACTCTCAAATCATACTCAATACATTCGAGGTTAATTCCGAGCGTACATAGAACAACCACGAATGTACAATTACATCGATCATGTCTGTTGAACACATGACCTGGGCCTATATTCATGAAGCCGTACTCATGCTCAAAGACAGATTTTGTGCTCAAGCACAACTCTTTATTCCCGTGATAAATTAATGAAAAAATACATTTTTTAAATATCAGGAAGAATTTGGGAGTCTTTGCTATGTTTAACCTCGACTATTTGACCGTGTAACATGATTTTAAGCCTGCGGCAAGAATGTGGGTTTGAGCCCAGAATCCATGCTTGAGCACAAATACAGTTTCATAAATACGGCCTCTGATAGACAGACGGTAAGTTATGATTGAACGGATAGAAAAGCCAGTACATGATCAGCCAGACATTTATAGACATTTAACCCATCTATAGACGAGCGTAGCCCTTTTGTCTTATTTTAAAATGCTGTTTATGTTTCAATAATTTGGCAATATCCAATCGACGATCTGATTGTGAGTGTTGGCGTGGTTTATCAACGGCAAGCCTATCTCTTGTACACTGTCGGATGTTTTTCGCGTGTTTTGAGAAGAATTGGTATTCCTTATCTTTACCACTTTTGTTTTCATGTTCTTTTAGGCGTGTTTCAAATTTTCGCCCAGTGTTTGTTTTTAATTGTTGATAATTCATGCACGTATTTATACAACTTCTTTTTTTCTAGAAAGTCGGTCTTATCTTTTGCGTGGGCAAATACTTGACTGGTCGTCGTCAACGGTTTCATAGGGTTGCTTACTTGAAAAGGTTGCAGCTGTTACATGGAATTTGGTAAATCACTAGGCCTCTGTCTTGTCTTTTTGCATCCACTTTAAGTAATTTACAATCTTTAGTGAAACTTGTTCCAGTTCTCTCTCAGACCAACTCTGCAGGTGGGGGATCGGGAAAAGATTGCACCTGCTGTTACCCACTGCATGTGTCGTAGGAGGCGATTAATGTGCATGGGAACCCCCTGCAGAGTTGGGGATTTGCTTTGGTAACCTCTATTTGGGGACACAAAAGCGACAACAATAAATCTGCTGCATCCATTGCAATATTTGGGATCTTTATCTTTCTTTCTACTTCTAACTACTGTTTATATCCTAGCGCCTTGTTTGGCAACACCTCACTTTTGGTCTTAATGTTGAGCGTTTACCCGGGTGAGGAAGGCAATGGGTTTTGTGCCCAGGCCGGGACATACATTAAGTCCTTAAAAATGGTAGTTATTATTCCCTGCTTAACGGGAATTGCAACAACTAGTTCACCCGTTGTCAGTATAATGTGACCGGGTGGAATGCTGTGCTGGGTGCCTTCGGCATGGCATTTCACTGAGATAGCACTATAAAGTCGGTAACAGATCCGCGCAATCACAATAAGGCAAGAACACCAACATACCCGGTCTCCTGCATACACACACGCAATCACGCATACACTACACACATGGAGGCACGTCCTTAAATGACCCTAGCTGTAAACAGGACGTTAAACAAAATTAAACCAAACTCTCTCTCTCAGACAAAATCCGAGGTCATCAGGAGGATGAGCAAGATACATACACATGTGATAACACCTTTATGATTTTGAAATAGAGACAGAATGCTAAAGATGTTTCGGTCTCTCAATGACTCATTGGTGATGCTAAGGTAAAACTCTTGGTCTAAATTACTATTGAAACAGAAGGTAAGGTGCCTTAATTGTATGAATATCAAATATCTAATATTTAATTTCAAATCAGAAATAAGCAAAGTGTGTATACTTTGCTCTCGCCAATACTCAAAAGAGATCACTTTGGCTCTAAAGCTTAAGCATAGAAATATTTTTAACCGTCTGATTTGATTACATCAAAATTTTGCTACACAATACAAAACTAGTGAATTTATAGGGCAGGGGCACCACCAACCTTCTTCAGGAGGGCTTGTTTCATATTTAGGATCCACTGGCGGTGACCGTGGTGTGTGAAGCCATGAACGATGAACGCGGTTGGTCTGCTACCGCTGTACATGGACGAGAGTATGGTCGACGCGTCGGAGTACAATAGCACCTGCTCGTCGGCCGTCGTAGGGCTGTCTCTGTCAATGTAACATACATAGTCAGCTTACATTAATTGGCTAGAGGTGCATGTTAAGTTTGTTTTGAAATATGATATTATACAACATTTCATAAAGCGCCCTATCTAGTTAGAATAAGCCACTCTAAAGCGCTTTACAGTACATAGATATAAAATTAATACAATTAGTATATACATTAATCAATACAATTTTGAGGTAATGAAGTGATTAACAAGTGATCGACAGTTTATGATCAATCTACGCTAACTAATTGATGGATAAATCAAAGCTTCAAAGTAAGTGCAACGCGTATAACTATTAAAATGCGTTTCATTCATGAAAACTAGAATCACCTGCAAACATCTTTTAATTTATTTTACAATCTAAGGAAGGTATTTCACATCTGAAAGTGTGAAGAAGTAGACTAATATCTCTGCTTTGTCTATTGTTTTGCTCGTATTTTCCGTTTCGTTATCAACTTATATAAAGGTGTTTTTTTTATCAAAAGGTAAAACCTGCGTTTTACTCACATACATTTACTTACCAAACGAAATAAAGCCTTTTGTGATGTTGAAAAAATGTAATATTTACGAAGACAGATCAATAACAATGATGAAAAATATTGAATCATACTGTGTGAAGCATGATGTTATTTGGTTAGTATAAACAATATTTTATATAATACGCAACCACAATTATTACTCCAACGAAATATCACATGGATGGGAACGCAAGCTTCGGGCTGAGCTTTTATAAATTACGCTGACCTTGCAGGCTCACTGCGTAACTATGTTAACTTAATTTATCACGTGACTCCTGATGCTAATGATATCTAGTATTCTTGTTGGTTTAGCACTTGACGTGATACTCTGGGGAGGGCGTCCTTAAATTACCATATCTGTTGAAAGGACGTTAAACAATACTAAACCAAACCAAACCAAACCAAATCAGACCAAACTTAAAATACATTGGGTATGGATTTGAATACATGGGCGGATTGGTCGAGTGGTTAACACTCGGCCTTCCACGCAGGCGGCCGGGGTTTGATCCCCGAAGTCGTCGTACTCATGGATATTCAGAGAAAGTGTTTTTCTCCTGCCCACACAACTCCAACAACCCAGGTGGAGTATAAATTGGTCTGGGGTGGATGTTGCGGTATACGGCTGTAGCATTCAAGTGAGGTGGCACAATAAATGATGCCGTTGGAAGCACGGTCACACTACAAACAGAACAACAAGTCTCCAGCACACACGCAGGCATACACACATAGGGAGATTTTAGTCAGGTGGCAAAGGGCTAGTAGTTAGCGCCGGATAAGGCAGCTCCTGCGAATTCCTCAAAATTGTATTGTAATGCATATGCTAATTGTATTATATGTATATCTCTGTACTATAAAGCGCTTTAGAGTGGCTTATGCTAGCTAGATAGGGCGCTATATCAAATGTTGTATTTTATTATAAATTGATCGAATGGTTAATATTGGCTGACAGATTACTATAAACAGTATTTAACCATCGTGACGGAATAAACAATACTTTTAATATTCATATAACCGTTTCCATTTCTCTAAATACATACGACACTTATTGTTAAAGTGCATGGCTGTACTTACAATGAGAAATAGCGATTTATTTTTTATTTATTTTTTTGGTAAATGGAGCGTTAAGTCACAGCCGATGACAAAATACGATTTTTGATGTAAATGAATGATAGAAAATATTTATGCTGTGTTCTATGATGATCCTATGCTTAATACTATACATGTACCAACTTTACATTTAATTGTGAAAATACCTTTATTGGTACATCCTATACTGCGCACTACGTCATAACTTAACATATTAAGGAGTGGTTTTGGAATTTTCTATTACGTACAATTTACTTGTGTACTGTTATGTTTATCGTTCAACGTTCTAAACTCTGGATTTATTTACTAATCATTGTACTGTTTACAACACAGAAACAACTGTTCCCTGCCTGAACCAAATGTCAGTTAAATACAAATATGTAGTATTATAATTAACATCATACTATATATACAAACCCACCACACGTCGCCCAACTGACCTGGTGTACAAGAGAAACTGGGTTTTAATGACATCAGGTGAGGCTGGCACTACAGTGATCGGCCGTTGGAGACCATTGAATGGCGCGTCTGTTGTGAAGCAGCCAAGTTCTCCATAACAAACCTTCCTATTGGTAACACTGTCCAAGATAAACCCTACAATAATGATTTAAAAAAAAAGTAAAACGATGTCAAGTGTATGTAAAAGGCACGTAGCCATATTGAGTCGATCGTACAGTCGTCGGTAGATGATGCCTTACATTTTTGGCCATCGAGCTGACTTTGTTTAACACAATTCTATAAACAATTTTATAATAAGCAATAAGCAGCCCCCAAAAGTCTTATAACTATGTTAATGTGCAGTATACTCATCCTAATCTTGCTTATTTGAGGTTATCTTATTGTTCATAATCATTGAACGGATTATTTCTGGGAATCGTTCTGGGTTTTTTATGTGTAAATTACCAATACAGATACTATCTCAAGGTAATAAGGGTATCTGTTTGTATATAACCAGTATACAGTATGTTTGTGGGAAGAGTGAGCTTATCTGTTCTAACAAAAGATATATGAAATCATGATATTTACATACCATACAAATGTACAAATCTATGTGTTCTTGTCAAATGTATATTTCAATACTAAGCTGTACGATATTCTGGACGAATCCTATTTTCCGGGTGTTAACTTTCGCTTTCTTGACAGAAACATCCCTACTTCCCAATCCTACGGTGTGAACTTGTCGGTATTCAAGATGATGCTCCGATTATCTTGATTACTGTGATGGATGTCGACAGCTGACAGACAAACACACAAGAATGGATTTCAACAGATGTAGGTTAATGACGACTATTGACAAGGTTTATGATCGTCATCGTGATTTTATTTGGATATATGATATTTCTTTGTGTGATTAATATAATCTTCCCCTGCCTTGAGGGTGTGACAGAGAAATCTCAAACCCTCGGGGTGATTTTTTTGGGTTTGAGATTTCTCTGTTACACTCTCAAGGTAGGGGATGATTATTTTTCTCCCATCCTATTATTTCATTTATTTTATTTTGTTCATTAGTGCGGTTCGTCATCATCACCCCTGTTCTCAATATGAGGATATGACAATGCTTGAATTTGACCTAGACTTGCATGGCAGATGTCTTTGATGAAGCAGAAAACGCCTACTCTTCCGGAACATCTTGTCTTATTCGCCTTGTATTAAGGGTCTCCATTTAAAGCTTTCCTTTGTTCATCTTATCCCCAGTTTATCGATTTCGATTAATACCTTTTTAATGTTTTTGACGCGGCAGTTTTCTATTTTTTTGTTGTTTTTAATTTCAGTTAGTCGTCAACATGAAGATAACAACAGGAGTGTGCATAGTGATTTCAAAACATACGGTTAACAATAGTTTTGTCACCAGGGCACGATCCTACCTCATAAAATAAAAATTAGATACTCATACAATTTTTACATTCATATGCTTAATCATTGTATTCTGTTCCCAAGGTACATCCTGATGATTCAGGTCAACTTGTAACCGTGCGGAAAAAAACCCACTTTTTAACCGAAAACATCTATCAGATGTCGAACAGTCTCCTTGCAATGTCACCAGATCACTGCATATACACACCTTTCCAAACAACTAAATGCTGAAGAAATTGATTGCTTTACTGCTTTGATGGATAATTTATATAGGCTATCGGAGGATAAAGCGATATCAGCTGGGAGAAGATTTGGTAAACGTCTAAAAGAACACCATTTATATGTGGAGACAATGAGTGACAATATACATTAAGATTTCCAGGACATATCAGCAACGTTGTACATTTAACCCTCAAGAGACCAGGAAAGTGAGGACGCCCCTACATAAGATGAGAACTAGCATCTTTGATTAAACAAACTTAGCAGGAACCCTTTCTTATAAAAGCATGTGATTAATTAATGTATTCAGTGTATAGTTATGGCAGCGCTTCACTGTCAGGCATTACCACACATTGATTAGCCGCTGTCTACAGACGTGCTGTGCTGACCTTTGCGACAGGCAACATTTAGATAACGAAGAATTTCAGTTTTACAAATTTAACGACAAAATGAAGGATGAACGGAAATGAATTAAACTTAAACAACACCTTCTTCGCAATGAACGACATAAGATAAGTAATTATCCCAAGTTCATTAGATAAACCATTTGATATAGAAAGCTGTTCGCACTAAGACTCCAAACTGGAATAAATAATTCTGTTAAGGAACTACTCTTTCACAGTTTCTTTTCAATACACGTTTATAAGTAAAATAGAGAATTATCTCACCATAGCAGGCTGTGAGGAAGAAGAACAGAAAGACAACCGCAGGCTTCATGTTGGCACGTTAAGGCTGACGACGACAGACCGATACTTGTATAAGGTGTGGTAGTGACACTATCTCTGGTCAAGGTACAAAGTGCGCACCTGACACATTCCGTGCCTTATACATGATTCTTAAATGTTCACCATGTCTTACTTTAAGTATTGTCGTGTAAGTTTTTTGAAGATGTGATATTGTATTGTTTTATTTTAGCGGGTCTTGAAGATGAACGTTCCTACTTTGAGTAATTCTGAAGTTTTTTTCTTTTTACTTAAGGTATAATGGTGACTTTTTTGTTTATCGATTATAACTTATACTGTTACCCATATAATGTAAAGCGCTTAAGAGCAATTTTACAAAATATATAGGACGCTATATAAATGTTGTATACTATTATTTTTATTATTATTTTATATTCCTTTTACCTTTCAACAAAATACAATATCAAATAGTACAGGTATTGCCCAAAATTAGTTTACAGAAGAAGTATTACAGGAATTCCTTCACTGTATGGGCCAAACAGATAATTATATATCCTCAAAGTCTATCGTGGTAAATATATCTAAACTCTTCTGTATTGCGTTACTAATTGTTTATTCGGTGCTGAACTGTCCCATTTCAAAAAAGGATTCTCGCAAAATGTTTTGGGTTATTTTAACAGAAGTGTGCACTTCATTCGATCTAGATCTTAACATGGAGACACATAATACATCAATTGTTGAAAAACCACAATCTCTTGTCAAAGAACGGAGTACCAAGTGAACACCTGACGCACTCCGTGCCTTATCAATACTTATTCCAGTAAGAAAAACGAAATACTGATATCAGTTTATGTAATATTTTGTTGATTTTATTAAATTACCTTTTTCTCGGATATGAAAAAAATAGGTGTCATTTTCTAAAATGTTATCTTCAATCCTATATATATTTATTTACGTTGTGTCTGTCCTTGATAGATAGGGTTGACTGAGGTGATCTACTGATAAGGACTTGGTAAATGTACTTCCCAGTTGTACATGTTCAATTTACCTGAATGAACTACAGTTTAAACAGATAAGTTCCGACACCTCGAATATTATCAATATTAAACGCCGCAAGACATCTGCTGTTAGTAATGCCATATAACACACAATCCTCGCATTAACTTTCCATTTCTTATGTTGTAGACAAAGAGATATACAGACTTTTCACCATTAACGGTGGCATAGGTAAATATTTTAAGCTTTTAGTGATAGTTAAGACCAGTAACAACAAACGGTGTTGATAAAGAGACAGTTACAAATGTAAGACTTTTCACTAGTGACGGCTTTGACAGACAGATAGTTAAGACTATGCACAACTAACGGTGTTGATAGATAGTTAAAACTATTCACAACTAACGGGGTTGAAAGAATAGAAAGAAGATAGTTAAGGTTATTCACAACTACTGGTGTTGACAGAATAGAAAGATAATTAATGCTATCCACAAGTAACGGTGTTGACAGAATAGAAAGATAGTTAATGCTATTCACGACTAACGGTGTTGACTAACGATCTGGATAGAAAGAAAGTAAAGACTATTCACTACTAACGATTTGGATAGAAAGAAAGTAAAGACTATTCAATGGATAGAGAGAAAGTAAAGACTATTCAATATTAACGATTTGGATGGAAAGAAAGTACAGACTATTCATTACTAACGATTTGGATAGAAAGAAAGTACAGACTGTTCACTACTAACGATTTGGATAGAAAGAAAGTAAAGACTATTCACTACCAACGGTATTAAAAGAGAGATAGTTAGGACTATTCAAAGCTAACATTGTGGATGTGACGGTAAACAAATATAGGTAATAATTGGGTAAAGGACGAAAATGTCGAGCATGTTGTATGGTGGAGAGGGAAACGAACTGCAAAGAGGTTCAGTCAAGTATTGTGTATCATGTTCACTTGTTCACCATCTCAAATGATACTTTCTACTCTTACAATTATAAACAAAATAATAATAAAAAAAAAAATTCACAACACAGTCTTATTAATATCATAAAACATTTCGTATTTGTATTTTATACGATTTACTTTCACACTGTATGTCGTATTTTTACTAACTTCAAATTTGGTTGTTGAGTGGTATACTAAATACACATGTGTATTTGTATCAGAAACAAAATAAATATCTATATATTGCATTGCATTATATAGTTCAATCGATAGAATTTGTTGGGTTTATTTGTCAGAAGTTTTCAACTGAAATAAAGGAAACTAATATACATCTTAACATGTTTTTTCCCTGTTGTAATGAATCCAAATATGTTGTTAATCTAACCAGGACGACGTTTTACATTGAGTGATGACGTCATAAGCTTCGGAATCTTCCGTGGTGTTAGACTTGCACCGATATTTTAAAAAGTATCCAAAATGATATCAATATCGCACTGAATGTAAATATAAGGATGAAATCATGTTTTGTTGAGGTATATAAATTCAATATGAGCTGCTTTGCAGTTCAATGAATTTGTCTCAAGCCCATTGAGGATAATACCCCATAAACCTCAACAAAACAAGATTCAATCCTTTAATATTTCATTAAAGCAATACATTCTTAATTGTAGTCATCATCGACCTATTTATCTTCACATACTGTAAGTGTACTTATTTTAGCGGTATTATGTAAACCGCTAAAATTGGACCATAAAGCACACGCTATTCCTACCATAAATGAAGATATCAATGGACAGTAAATGACAAAAACTCTCTTACACTGTACATACATTTGAAAATGAACTTGTTATTCCACGTAAGTCGTACGATATACAAGACTCTCCAATCTTTGAGTTATTTCCCCTGACATCCGCTGTACACCAAGTATATCAACTGTATAGTATATTCTCGAGAGAAAAAAAGACATTTAATTATATAAGGTACTGCGATTCCGCTAATTAAAAAGTGCATAATTAAAAGTCCTTCTACCTTCATTCCGCTAAATTTTGAGGGCAATTAAATAAGTACGCTTACAGCAATAAAGACACTTTGCAAGGTCTATGAGTATGTGAATTCTAATCCGTAGTTAAGGCAGGGCGAAATCCTCACTGCGACGCCATCCATGTTATACTCGCTTTATACTGTCATATGACTTTAAATGATACTAGTGTGATTGTTGGCAATGCTCACACCTCGATGACTGATGTCCATTTTATTGTTTTCCAACTTCTCGGCAATTTTTGTCGTAAATCTTTAAGGTTTTGCAACGATTTGGCAGAAGTCAACGTTACTATTCGTATGGACTTATTGACTGTTTTGTGACATTTTTCTGGAACCGTGATCGGATTTCCACGGCATATTATTTTTGCCAGTATGCTGATCTCTTGTTGGTCACGCCGATTCTTCATCGAATGCTCGATAAACTTTCTTCTATTAAAGAGTTTCTCCATCAGATTAATCGCGCTTAAGTTCCTGTTATGTAAATTATTGGTAAAAATAACTCATTGCGTAGTAGCCTTTATGGCGTAGTTAATCAGATTATTTATTATCCGATGAGTAGCCGGATATCCCCGCTTAGATTTATACAGAGTTTCTTTCTTAACCAAATGTCCCTTAGAAAACATTCACCAAGTTTGAGTTCATTAATTTCCTTCAGCTATTTTTTTCAGCTGTGCATATATACATCGCAACATGAAGTAAACGAATAAACAACAACACACAAACACACCACTTCCACACCTACTTCTAGAAGTGTAACGATATATGTTGCACTGCTAAGAAATAATGTACTTTATGATATAATGTCATTTTATGTTAAGGACATTTTAATGTATAAATGGCAAGCACTGGATACAATTGACTTAACTCCATACATTATGCCGTCTTCTACAAGCAACTCATACATATTTCGCCAAAAAGCTATTTCTGTTGTTTATTTTCTCTGGACAACAACTTAATAAAAGTAGACATACTTATTTGTCTGAGATAGTAAGGTTTAGTAAATGAATTTCGTAAATCGGAAAACAAAATGAAATTCATCTTCTACATCATTTACGTCGCTTTACATTATTGGGTTTGACTGTAGGGCTACAGACACTGACTTGGGACAGCTTTATGCATTTGCCTTTGAATTTCCTCAATAAATTTTTAAGTGAACATTAAATGCAATACTTGAGGTTCATTTAAAATAAATCCTTTCGATATGATCTTTATAAACCAATATCTTGAACAATGGCAAACATCATAAACGAATTGTCACCCGGAGTTCGTCTAAACTTTTAGTACACCTCTCTGACGTCATCAATTACCATATCTGTTTTTGTGTTAATAAAAATCTCCTTATGACGTAACAGCTTGAATTTTGGTAAATGGCAACCGTATTGGATTTTTTTTACCAATTTTAGTTTTCGATATTAACCCGAGTACTAGTAAAGCACAGAATAAGTGTGTTCTGGCAAGCGCATTATGGTACATAATTTAAACAATTAACACATATATCGACAGAATTACAACACGAACAGGTATCATGTCCAAGGACACAGTATACTCATGCAAGCCAAAGAACCTTGAATGAAGAGTTAGGTGTGAATAATGACTGAAATGATGAATTATATGTACAGTACTTACACAAAATATGATGATGATACTTTGACTGTTAATATGTTAGACTCTCTTTACAAAACATAGTCATAATCCCTAGCCTGTGAAAACAACAACAACAACAACAACAACAACAACAACAACAACAACAACAACAACAACAAAACAATTGCTACTGATAAATATATGGACTCGCTTTACAAGTTGCAGTCAAGATACGTCGCCTGTGTTGGTGAATGTGTGTACCTTACCATCTTAGAATCTCAATAAATAAGTTATGTAAATACAACTGCTTCATGTACCACAACAAAGTACAAAGAAATAAACAAACATAATGTTACAGGTGTTGCCGATGGAACGGTCATATACATCTGTATAATGGCTTCGTAACACACACGATATTCCAAAACAATTGCAATCACTCTAGTTAAAAGGTACGTACTAAATTAAACATACAACAGATGGGATGTGCATGTACCTCATTGGATACAATAGAACAAGAAAAGCGATATCAATCAAGC